AGACATTTATGTGAAGTTCATTGGTCAACTCACTGGCTGCTTGCAAGGCAGACATAGCACATGTGTTTATTTGGTATAAATTGCTACTCACCAACTCTTGAGAATTGAGATATTCCACAAAGTCCGCAAAGTCGTGGCGCAAGCTACCATATGCACGGAATTGCACCTTTCTCACCAAACCAAAAAGGGTGGTGTTTCACTGTTGATAACAGCACGTTGCTATTACACACATCAAATTGGGTTTCCATGGAGACGTCCACAAGCCCATTGCTCCAACACTACCATAAGTGTGACATCAGCTCGCAAAATGGAATAGCAGCATGCTGCTACCACCGGTGAAACGCTACCAAGAAAACAGGGCCCTGTTTCACCGGTGATAGCAGCACGCCGATTTTACGACTTGTCAAATTGGGTTTCCATGGAGACATCAACAGGCCCATTGCTCCAACACTACCACAAGTGTGACGTCAGCTCGCAAAATGGAATAGCAGCATGCTGCTACCACCGGTGAAACGCTACCAAGAAAACAGATCTAACCAAACCTTAACTGCTACCTACAGCCTACTTTTTAGAAACTACAACCAACATATCACAAATGGCAGCTCGTGCCGTGTGCCCTAATACCAAATGCCTTACAAAAAGTTACGAGCCTAGAGCCCTTTCCCAAATCTATGACAGAACAGGTGGACATGCCATGAGTACCTTAAATGATTTATCTCAGCATTTTACATCAACATTCTGCACACAATCCAGTGATCCTAGAAAACAAGAGCAGTCTCAAGAATGAGTAGGTAGGTACGGCCTTCCAGTTATTAAGTGGTTGGTTGCCAACATCACAATACTCGATCTGCACTGATGTATACGTCTAATGGCTATTGAAAACCACTGTCGAAATGTGTGCACGAACCCTCTTCTCATTTCTATTGAGTCATTTTACAGGAGTATCTGTCATTCAAAGCTATTTCACCAAAATCACATAGGCTAACCAACCACTCTTGCTGGAGGGCCGTACCTGGCCTTAAAATTTGAATTATATGGCAGCACCTGAAACACCCACTATGAAACTACCCTAAACGCTTTATCTCAGCATTTTACATCAGCATCCAGCATCATGTAGGCAGGAAAATGATTGTTTTCAGCTTCAAGCGGGTTATATATGCGTCGGAATTGCCGCATCATAAACTTCTAGCCATAAATAGCTTCAGCATGGGAGAAAAGCAAAAAACAACACTATCCATATTTTCCACAAACCAATACCATGAATTTTAGCAGTATACATACACTTCATAATGTCAAATTTCCACGTAATATCTATCCGAATAAAATGTCAACCACCTACCTTCTAGCTCATGCCGAAACAGGCCGTTAGAAGTGGCGGGAACGCCGGGAACGATTACTTTACTGCGGGAACAAGTGTACTTTTAAATTATTCAAATTTTGGGCTGCAAACTGGAGCGACAGACCCTTATTTGTTTATATAAGTTCTTTAATTTTATCATATAATTAATAAAATGGCGCGAAATAAAAAATACTTTACATATTTTCAATGAAACCTATGGTTGCAAATAATTATATTATTATTTTAGTCATTGATACAATTATGAGCTACAACTTGGCGCATATGTGTCAATAATGATTTATTTGAAGCTTTTTGTAAACACTTTTGAAGTGTGCATATTTTTATCCCCAAGAGAAATAACAAACAAGGTCTCTGCAATAATGAGAAAAGCAGACATGCCAATGCTCCGAAAAAAATCGACCGATTTTAATAATTTCAGCACAATTCGATAGCGGAGACCGAGGATCGTTGCCGTTTTTCGGTGATAGATTACTCTGGGCGGACCAACAGGCAACAAGAGTGAGGACCAAATTGGTCCAGATTCCAGCACCCCCCCCCCCCCGCTAAAAGCAGACGAGCCCATAGGGCTGTTCGGGTCCCTGCAGCATAGATCTGTGTACTGCGTGCGTCATACTTGGGTGACGTCAGCCGCCCGGCTCCACCCACCCTCCGCCGGCACGCCGGGGCCCAGCGCCGCTGCAGCCTGCAGCCTGTTCCAACCGTGGCGCTTACGGACTGGTAATTGTCGTTCAAATAACGGTTAAAATGCGTTCAAATATGGTCAATACCAATGTGCCACTGAAAAGAGTGAAAATTAGTGGTAATGAGTAAAAGAGTGATGATAAAAGGGCGTGACTAACACATCTGGATCCACCGGGCCCAGTCTAGCTCTAGGTATAAATGTGGTAGTATATTTAACCCTCGCATGTGTAGGGGGGTCGGATGGACCCTCCCTCGGTTTTTCGCGAATAACTCGCGTAAAAAGCGGCTGATCGCGACGAAACTTTCAGTACACTCGAAATGATCAATTCTACACCTACCCTGAAAATTTCATGACCCTGACCCAAATCACCTTTGACCTGTGACCTACTTTTCAAGACCAGGTTTGGCCGGAATCGCGATTCGGCGTATGTCGGCTCGCATTAGCACTTCGCATTAGCATCAATTTTTCTTTACGAATTTGACATCGTACACCAATGTAAATAGCACTATCGTGTTCCTGAGCTCAAACTGCATCTAATAGACATGTTTTTTTGTTGAAAAATTTCAGCTTTGAAATTTGACCTGAAAGTGACCTGACCTCAACTATATGCAGATGAAAATGGCCTCAAATGACACAGGCGACACCGAATTCGAAATCTATGGCCCAAATGGACCATAAAACATGTGTCACGTGACCGACTTATGACATAGGATTTCCGTGACCTATGATGACCTGACCCTGACCTGAAAATCAAAATACGTTCCCTCAGGGTATCTGTTCACGAGTGTGTAAGCCAAAAATCAGCCTGATCTGACTTGTAAGACGGCAGCCAGAGCCCAGAAAGTGAACAAGCCAAATATCGACAACTTTTTACTTTGACCTGACCTGTGACGTTATCGGTGACCTCGAGGTCAATGAAATTAGGTTTCGTTCGACAGTTTTTCCGGGGCTATCAGATGCCGTTTGAAATTTGACGATCGGCCCAGTAGTTTCGGAGTTAGGAGGGGTGCTATGAATAGCCCCCCCCCCCCCCCCCCGTGGGGCGTGTTATACACAGACCCCAGTGGGGCGCGGGTTAAGTTTGTCGAGAGATGCGTAGGGGTGACAGACCCGAGTCTAATTTTTGCTTGAGATCCAGTGAGATCATAGATCCTCATTTACTTTTGTCAACTCAGAAATCCCAGCAACTCACTCGTTGCAACTTGCAAGTCACAAACGTTCAGTTTTAGAGCTTCTATGTGATTGCACGTCATATCCACAATTTTGTGGCACTTGAAAACCCTGGTTTCAAATGTTGTGCATGGTGCGATCCACTCAGATCATAGATCAATGTTCTTGGTTTATCGTCCAGTAGCGGCGGAACACCTTCAATTAAGGGGGGCACTGCCGACTTTTGGTCCCATTCTTTCCGTGCAACGCCCATAGGCCTAATGTTAAAATGCCAAAATCAAAGGGGGGCACGGTGCCCCGGTGCCCTCCCCGTTCCGCCGCCTATGTTATCGTCAGATCCTATGAGGTCATAGATTCAGATTAAATTTTTCACGCTGAATCCGGTGGGACCATAGATCCTAACCTGCAGTTTCCTTCGATGTCCACAAAGATCATAGATCCATCACTCGGATCCATGCACGTGTCTGTAGGAGGGTCCGTAAAAAAACGAAACGGGTACTTCTGTTCCCTTTTTATTTCCTTTGTTTACTCCCCTGTGTACCGACGGATCGGCCAAGTCTGGCACCAAGAACAGCTGAGGTGAAGCGCTACTCCAGCTGCACTGGGATGGCTGCGAGCTGTAGACGATGTTGCCGGCGGGCGTGGTCTGATGCAGTAGAGCTGAACTGGCGGCGATGCTGACTTCCCCCACCTGCCTACGGAGAACCGATCCGCATTGGTCGGAATCCCGCTCAGGAGTACAGCTCCTGCAGGGCGCAGCCCGGATGCTCAGCAGCTCATCAGAGTCGCACCTTTGCAGTGATGATGATTGCGATGGAAAGTGTTTGTGACTTGTGAGTGTTCAGGCATTTGCATTCAAATATACATGTTTTAATCATAAAGCGTTTATTCACAGAAAGGATTTCGTAGACTGATCGCAGTAGGTAATATTTGGACATTACTTTCCGAAATCGAACCGAGACAGGGCACCATCCCCCGCGCCTCAGACACGTATGACCAATGACCATGCATCCGCGCAGCTCTGCGCCGACCGTTACTGGGGGTCGCCGGTAGACTGGGGAGGGAGCCGCCTCTGTTCAGGCACGCACATTGCAGGGGCGCAGCCAAAGATGGGGGGAAACACTGGTCTTAAACCCCTCCCAAATCTAGCAGGCGCCCTCTGCGAAGACGATCATTTCCGGGCGCCGAAGGCGCCTTTCCCGTGTCCAACACTCTAGGCGCCCTCGACGGTAAGCCATTGCGGTACCTACACCACACGGCACTGGCGCTAAGGCTTACAATTTCATATCTTTAATGAGTGAAGACGCGAAATTGGCGCCTTTCCAACCCGAAATTGGCGCCCTACTGAGCCAAATTTCGCGCCCTCATCAATTCAAGCCCCCTCCGAATTTTTTCCTGGCTGCGCCCCTGGCGCATTGATGCCCTCCTTCGAGCCGATCGGAGGAGGAGCCTCCAACGCCAGCTGTCTTCCGTTTGTCAGCCAAGAACCCTGGGCCCTGTTTCACCGCCCGACGCTGCGCGCGCTGCAGCGTGCTGGGAGCTGAGGCGTACCCCTGACGTCACTCGAATGACGTTGCGTGCGATCCGTTAGCTTATGATGAATCGCGTTTGGAACAGAGGTCCTAATGAACCAAGTACAAAGAGAACAGAGGTTTGAGTGCGAATGCTGCTAGCGTGCTGATGGTGCTGGCGCTTGGGTGCTAGCGTTTTGCGATGACGCCATAGCGTAGCGTCAGAGGGAAGTTTGTTGATATTGCCATGGAAACCCAACGCGCCGACGCGCGCAGCGCACTGCAGCGCTCCGCCGTGAAACAGGGCCCTGGGCAGACCATTCCTTGGCTCGGATCAGGATGCGGTCAGCCCACTGCACCATCCTGATCGGCACAGCACCGGTCCTCTTTCAAGCTGCAGCAGCCGCCTTCTGCGGGCTGTGACAGCCAACCGAAACCGCTGTCTGAGGTAGTTTTTGGAGCTGATTTCGAATTTAACAACCATTTGAACATTTACGAAATAGTGCTGGTGCCTTCGTAACATGTTACGAAGCTGCAGTGACAGGTGACACCTATCCTAATCGGACCATATTTGGCAAAGTTGTGGACATATTGCGTTTTGCGGCATAAATGGCGCATTGGACAAGGATGGTGCATTGCGGCAAACGCGGTGCATTGTTATTGTCGTTAGAGCATGCATCATAACGCCAAATCGCATCCTAATCGGACCATGTTCGACAAAGTTATGGACACTTCTTGACTTGCGGCGTAAATGGCGCATTGTGACAAATGTGGCGCATTGCGGCAAACGCGGTGCAGTTGTCCTTGTTGCTTAATAATGTATCCATCCACCAAAATCTAGTCCAATCGGACGATTTTTGACAAAGTTATGTACATTTGAATATTTCACTATAAAATATCTCCGCAACGGAGGTGCCCAGATTTGCACGTGTGCCACGTGACCACCGGTGGTGCAAGCAGGACTTGTCCCCTCACCGATTGTACCATTTCAGACTTCCTGACTGGTGCTGTTTTCGTGCTATAAGGCCACAAATCGGCAAAAACACCATAACCTGGGAGGTACTCGACTCAAACACGTGGCCACGTGGCACGTGCCGGACCTGTGACAGCTTCACCGTTCACGCCACGTAATGACCCATCGACGTGGCCATCAGCATGTAAAAGATGACCCCGGCCGGTGTCACCATCTCTGAACAGTGGACGGTTAAACTCGAAAAATGGGAAAATTTAGGGAAATTTCACCTTTCTAATATATAATTTCCCCAAAATTTTAAATTTTTCATTTTACAAAAATTCCGAGATAGCAGTTTTTTAGCCCCCTTCATTCTGTGCTTATACCCGTTTTCAGATCGACCCTATCATAAAAACTGACGGCCTGACGGCTATTTCCCCCATTCCTTGCATTTCACAATGCTAGTATATTTAAGCACCAAAATTGACCCCGTGCCACGGCACGTGCAATAGCACGTGCGCCACGTGACCGCTGGTGCAACAAGCTGGACTCGTCTCCTCACCGGCTGCACTGATTTGGTGTCGCTAGCTGAAGTCGTTTCTGAGCCATAGGACCCCCAGTTGGCCAATGTCGGATTTTGCACGAGGTTACCCCATCAAACACGTTTGCACGTGGCACGTGCTTTTCAATCGCCCCATATCTGACCCATACCTTGTGGTAGCCGACACCCCGGGGCACAACATATTGGAACATTTTCAAAATCTAACGTGGAATTTCTTTGCAAAATCGATTTGAAAATTATTTTTCGAATTCGCCATAGACTCAGCATGGGGTAACTGTCCTTAACGATTACCCAAAATTTTGTTAATTATATTTTAAATTATTACCATCATGAGGTGGGGTCCCGGCCCGAGATTCGACCCTAAAAATATAATTCATTTCTAACGTGGAGTTTTTGCGCAAATCACATTTTAAAATTTTCCCCATGTTAACCCTATGGGAAAATGCACGTGCCGATTACCCCAAAACGGGTTAATTATATTTCAAGCGACCGATGCCAGCTGGTAGCTCCCCGATACGGGACCAAACGCTGAAAATGGCAAGAAAATCTATCGAGCCGTTTTCGCGGGGATCAAAATGACCAAAATCGCGGCAGAAACGCTAAACACCCCCCTAGAGAGGTAGCTCAGGTTGGGATTTTCAATAGAAAATCACAATTCTAAAGAATAGTGATTGTCTAATTGAAAAGTCCCAACCTTCGGATACAAAACTGCTATTCCAGCTCAAAACCCCATGTTTAAAGTGATATATTTCCTATAAGTTCTTCAGTCTAGACTTTACCACATTTGTCTAGGAGAACACCCGTCCTAGTGTGGCAAATAGTTCATAGGACTTTGATTCAAAGCTAAACAAACTACTGCTAATAACCTCACATAATTTCTGCAATGACCTTTACCTTCTTTGAGTTGTCTGGACTAAAGAGCTCTGCAATCATTGGCCTGTACAAAGTTTATCCTGGAATCTTGTTCACTAGAAGATAGGTAAGATAGGTAATAATATAAATATGTCTAACAAGGTGATGTACTTTTCTAGTTGCAGGACCTACACAAGATAGCATGTCATTCTTTGATGATGCAGAGTGGCTACAATCACATATTGTTAATTCATTCATCACCAGTGATGACACAGGTAAGTCAACACTCAACAGTTTATTCCCTAGGTGTATGCATTCAGGGCAAGGCTATATAAACCATTCAGGGTATGTTTGTGAATGTTTGGAAGCTCACTTAAAGGCTACATAGTTGAACATTTTTTTCTTAAATTTTCCACCCCATGAATTATTTTAGATCTGTCTGGGTGCCAAATACATTCCGAGAATGACTGTTAATGCTTCTGGATAATCATGGTAAAAACTACACACATATGTAGAGTTACAATAATTTGTTTTGTGAAGGGACTGAAGGGAATTGTGAGTGGCATGTCTTGATATATTAATTATTTAAATCAACTGAAATTGTCTAATAATCTAAATGAAAGTGCTGGATTTATTCATTTATCCTATGAACTGGTGGTAAATTGCAGGTAGAGATAGTCCATGCTGCTGATAGCATAGAAAATATAAAAAACTCCTTCATGCGCCACTGAAAGTTTACATCTCATGAGACTCTAGGAAAGGTTTGGATAGCAGCTAGCAGGCTTGAAAGAAATTCATGTACCTGAAAATTTATCTACAGTCAGCTAACAGAATATACTGGGACCTTTCCCTGCTCACCAACTCGTGTGAGTAAATCACCGGCTCGGAATGTCCCGAGTCTCGATCTCTGAAAGCATGCGTGCTGGCTTTCCAATGGTACATATATAGGGCCTTGATGAAGCCGACCGCGATTCCCGACTGGGCACATACTTGCGCAAAACGCAAATAATCAGCAGCAACAAAATCAACGGCCTAAATAATCGGCGGCGTGCGTGCGGCCTTTGCTGCTGGCCCCCAAAGCAATCGGAATATTATCTTGCTATCTATTAGAAAATGATACATATGTTTCCAAATATCCGTAACGAATGGCCAGCTGTTTTCAAATAGCAATGATTTCACTTGTTATTGCCTGCCGGCGATCGCTAAGTCATGATGACTTTTGATAACATCCATTATTTTCACATGACCCATTATGCAGATGGGGCATCATGCACAATACGCGAGATTGTGCTGTTTTTGCGCACAGGTCTGGGATAGCGCTGCTCCTACTACTTTTTACTAAAGCACTGTGACTTAGCCCACATTCCCTTCTTGTTTACTAGGTCTTTGTGAGATGGTGATGTCCAGTGAGTGTGCGTCCTCCGGCGCGGCCGCCGGTGACCCCTCCGAGCGGGATACCTACTTCGAGCCTCACTCGATCGACATCGTAATGGACATGGACATCGGCGGCCACCGGCGGCGCTCCAACACTTCACAGCGGCTCGACAAACTGAAGAAGGAGCGCAAAAACGCGGCACGCATCAAACACATCATCTGGCAGCCCAACGCCGACCCCTTGCCAGGTGAGTCAAATTTCTGCTGTGAAGCATGTCATTGCCCTTTTCTCGCTTTGTTACCGATGCCTTTAGACTAGAGTGCCTGTGCATGACAGGGGGTCAGGGTGTATGAGGATGTTGGTTTTATTACGTTCCCTAATGGCAGTGTGATCTCCGAGTTATACCCTACGGAATACGGATATAACTCAGAGATCACTGGCCATTCTGTATAATGGCTTTTCTTCTTTCTTTTTTTCTTCGGCAGATGCTGACCGGGATTTTGTGTTCGAGAAGAAGCCCATCGTTATTGCTGAGCGGCCAAAGACGTCACTGCTGACAGAGCAGCTCAACTCGCTCGACCTCTCCGACAATCCGTTCACCGAGTACTCCAAGTTTGACGGCAGAGTGAGTGTATGAGACGCTTCCAGAGCAAGGCGCGGTATAAAACAGGTATATTATTCATTGATTTTAGATCAGTTTTATTTTTTTTTCTGTTTCATAGATTATTTGTGTCGCCCCCGTCCCAACTATCAGCGAAACTTCCGCAAGCCATGCCTGTAGTTACATTTTCGATGATGTAGGTGGTGGCTGTCTCTCCCCTCTCCCTCTCTATTTCTTTATTTCGCCTCCCGCTCCATCTCCCACTGACCTCTCCCCCTGGGCCACCTGTCACCCGCGCTCTCAGGCGCACGCCGGGGTGCCGACGCGGCGCATCAACATCTTTCTGACGATGGCGCCGCCCGAGGAGCAGGCGTTCCCGATGTCGGTGACGGTGGTGGCCAGCGCGCGCGTCTCGGAGCTGATCGGACTCATCTGCTGGCAGTACACCAGCGAGGACAGAGAGCCGCCGCTACGGTAAGACCGCCGACACAAGACTGACAGAACTGTCACAGCATAGGCGGCGGAACGGGGAGGGCACCGGGGCACAGTGCCCCCCTTTGATTTTGGCATTTTAACATTAGCCCTATGGGCTTTGCATGGAAAGAATGGGACCAAAAGTTGGCGGTGCCCCACCCCCTTAACCCGGCAGTTGCTGGGGTATTTCGCCACCCACCATTTGCTGAGGGGGGGCGTTAAACGCCCCCAGACGATAACTCGAGAACCAATAGGCGCAGCGAAACGCACGAGGCGGCAAACGAAAGAACGCGACGAGACGCTTCAGATGAGTACTTTAAGGTTGAATTTTGAGGTCACAGGTCGGGTCAAGGTCAGGTCAAACACCTGAATTTGGGCCTTCAGTAGCATTGACTTCAGGACTTCGCAATGGGTGCCTCTCGTCATAAACTCTGTCAAAACGGTGCACAATCCATCATATAAGGCCTACAAGAGTGTCAGCTCCATGTAGGGGTCAGTCAAGCATAGGTCAGGGTCAAGGTCAGGTCAACCGGGTAGGCACATATCTTCGAAAATCAAAACTGATATTCGCAGCCTGTGACACATGTTTTATGGTTAATTTGGGGCGTAGAGCACGATGGTGACATTCATTTTATCATATGTGTACGTGTTTGGCTCAAAAAGTTCAATTTAAGAAATTCATGTGTCATGGTCGTGAAGTAGTCACGAGAAATTGCCAAGATTCAGTTCATGATTTTGAAAAATGCGGAGCGATAATCAATAATCGAAGATAGCCATTTGATTTTTCATGGTATTGGCAGTCTAATGGCGTTGACGGCATGTCTGTATGTCTATTCTGTGATTTTATATGATTTTTTGAACATATGCCGTTTTTGGTCGAAAACTCAGAAATCATGACGTCATTAAAACCTCGATATCTCAAAAAATTTCCAACCGATTTTTTTGAAACTTTGTCACAATAACCTTCAACCAATTCCCTTCAGGTACCCAAAATTTGGCGCGCCTTTTATGCTATGGCCCGGCGAAAAAAGTGGGGGCGTTTAACGCCCCCCCCCCCCCTCAGCAACTCGCGGGTTAATTGAAGGTGTTCCGCCGCTACTGTGTCATGGTGACAGTGAAGTGTAGAGGAAAGATGTGGGCTGGTCGGACTGTTCCACGGTGTCTTTGTAGGGACGTGGTTAAACATTTTTACGGGTTTGGTAAAATGAGTTAACATGGTTTTATTCTTAATGTCCGTTCTGATTAATTAAAGTTGATATATCGCCAGAGCTCAGTCGCGTCATCCCGCAGTCGCAGCATTATTACGGAATAGCCACTCAATGTACATATGTTCTTACATTTGCACTCTGCTAGTCACTGGCCCAGCTGTCTGTATGCCCGAGTTTCCCTGACCGGTGCGGTGCGTCAGCAGCCACTCGCCGGAACTGTACAGCCTGCACATCGCTGAGGACGATGGGGAGGTGGACTGGGACTTTCCGCCGCTCGACGACCGAGAAACGGTGGCCAAGTTCGGCTTCAGCGTGCTGGCCCTGGTCGAGACCGAGCAGACCGAGGTCACTGTGTGAGTAGACGAGGTCACATGGAGACGGGGTCAATGGAGAGGTAACATAGGGACGTGGGTCATTAGCGAGGGGCAATGTCAGGGAAGAAGGTCACTGGCGGGTGGTGGGCTCAAATAGGAGTCTGCGTTTGGTAGTGAGTGGCGCTGTCAAATAAAGACAGAATCGCTTTGATGCATTACATCAGTGTGAACCGCTGCCATTTGCGGCTCCGGTTGGCTGTCCGTGGCACCAGCGATCCGGTTTGAACGATGGAAGACTCATCCCGGCTAAATTCTACGTACTCTGAATCCTCTGCTCCTCTCAAGATCGTAACGGGCGACATTGGGCTGATTCCATGTGATATCGAGTGCTGCATCTATTGAATTATGTCGTCCGTTATAGCCCGCTCAGTTACTGTCCCAGTGGCTGTTTGCCGCTTTTTGTGCACCTCTCCGTTACAATTAACTGTGAGTGTGAGGTAGTGTAACCGCCCTCCCCCTCCCGTCACCTGTGTGTGCTCAGGTGACTTGAGTCGTCCTTACGTTGCCGTCACCTGTGTGTATCTGTGACGGTTTGGCGTCCCGTGACCATTCTCTTTGTGCCCCAGGAACGTGGACGGCCGGGACGGTCAGGACCAGGTGACTCTGTCGCTGAAGAAACGCAACGCCACGGTGGCTGAGATTCTGAACGCGGTGGTGTCGCAGCGGCCTGACCTTGCTCCAGATAATGGTGAGTGCGACTGGTGGTGTGACACGGTGTCAATCTGTAGCACTGCGGTGTCATAAGGGCCTGTGACCTGGGGTTAGAGGGGTCTGGGAGGTGGATACGGTGCCTAGGCTAGTGGACCGTATCGGGGGATTGTAGCGGAAAATGACTAAAGCATCGTTATTTGTTCTTAGTAGGAAATATGAGTAGTCTATCGGTGATCATCATTATGGTGTGTTAAGTATATCTGACCATCATGTTCATGGCGGATACTTTCATTAAGCTAGTTATTTAAATGATTAAGCAGCTTGAATGATTTTAAATGATTTGCATTAAATGATTTGTGATCGTACTATCCCCTTGGTGTGTTTCTCACCCGAGTGCCTCCACTGTACGCCGACGCGGCTCTGTCTCTGAACTCCGCTGTCTGCCCGGGCCTCCCCACAGAGGTGGAGCTGGCGCTGGAGCGAGCCGACAACAGCAGCACGGCGGCGTCTCCACTAAGCGCCGACACGCGTCTTTCACAGCTTGCCTGTCAGCACTTCAACCTCATCAAGACTAGTACGGACGGTGGGGTGGCGGGCCGGGGGTTTCAGTTGACCACTTTCCCTCACGGGCCGATATTTCGGGGCACTGCAATTAGTGCAGTCGTTATCGTAATGAAATACTAAATTTACACTTAAGTAACGTTTCTGATTTATTATTTCCGTCTCACGAGTCTGAAAACTATTTCGTCATTTTTATTTTACTTTCATCTTAGTGAGGAGCTATGTTAAGCAGCTGTTCCAACTCCCAGTATTCTTGCGATAAATCTCGTGTACCTTCATGATATATACAGGGTTACTTTTACAGGAAAAGTTGAGAGGGGGAATAAAGTTCGGGGCAAAGGCGGATCCAGGGGCATCTGAAAGGGGGGTGGGCGGCAATACCATTAGGTTTTTCGTTAGGATGGAGCCCGCAGAACCTTACCTACCCCCAAATCCTATTCTTTCCTCGGGTTTCAGCCACTTTATTTTGGAAGGTTGCCAAAAAATAATTTTGCTAAAAAAATATACGCACCTACCTTGGCTGTAAGGGGCGGGGGAGGTCCCAACTTGACTGCGCCCTTGCAAATGCCAATCAGTAGTATCAACCTATCAGTGGTATCAATAACTAGTAGGTATACCCCGGCCAAACATTAAGTAACGCCTTTCTAAAGAGAGAGGTTAATCCGCGCCCTGATTGGAGGTCATTTTGGCCCCCATGTGGGTTTTCTTGAAAAGCGAAAAACGGCGGCGCTTTTTAGTACCTTACCGGGCATCAATTTGAAACCTTCGCACAAAATTTCAAGTCTTAGGTCACCTTAGGTCAGGAGTAATTGATGTCAAACTGTTCGAGCAAAAATGAACAAAAAACATGAAATTCTTAAACGCTCACAAAAGCTACAGTTAACGAGCAATTCCAAAGTTCTTTGTGTGGTCGTGTATGTAGAGAAACGACGGCGCTACAAAACTGCAACCTCTACAACTACAAGGTGGGCAGTGATATCCGAACAAAAACTAATGAAGCACAAAACTTGAATTATTACTATTAGTATTAGTGAGCAGTGAAAGTTCCATTGGGAAAGCCGGCTGTGATGAGGTACTTTTTTTGCGCCCTGCTCTGCATGCAAAGCAGATGAACGTGAATGCTGCATAAAGAGAAAAGTCATTTATTACTCAAAGCTTTGATGCCTATGGGACAAAAATAACGTTGTTTTTCCTTCAATGATTCCGGTTTGGAGGATGGTTAAACACGGCCATTGTCATATTGGGACAAAAATTTTAGATATCTGGCCTTGGCGTCGATGAAAAAGTGAAAATAATCGTGAATAAATGGGTCGTTTCTGAGAAAGAACACAGAATATAAAAGGGGGTCCAAAAAGGGGTCACCTTCTTTTTGCGTCAAAGGAGGGGCCATGGCCCATTGCCCCCCTCCCCCTGTATCCACCCTTGGTTCGGAGAGGTAATCCCGTCCCCCGCCGGTTTCTACGCCGACGCCTGTACCGATATGTCAGTGATTGCGAAAAGACGGAAGAGACAAGACAAGAGACGGTCCCACCGACTATCCGATCGGTATCGGGTCAAATCTGGAGTTCCTGCTGCACTGAACGTAAAATGGTTGGATGGAACCGAAAATTGAAAATTAATAATTATCTTAACGCCAGCAACGTTGATTGATGACGAGAATCTGATTAACGATGACTATAGAATCTGAATAGCGAATTGATTGAAAATGGGCTCCAAAATAAATTTGAAAGGGGGAAATTCCCCCTTCCCTCCCTAGCCGTTCAGACACGATTTGAAAGGGGGAGCGGAATTTTCGAAGGGGGGAAATTCCCCTCTTCCCCCCCCCTTTAAAAGTAACCCTGGATATATATTGACTGTCGATGGGTCGTTCTGTTCCGTAGCGTCCGCCCGAAAACACAAGGACACGGCTGTGGTGGAGGAGCCGAATTTCAGCGGGCAGATGTCCGCCATGGAAGCCACCGTCTACCAGACCTTCAAGGTCAACATGCTCTCCAGCCTGGTCATCAAGGCGCCCATCCAGCTCGGTAGGGAACACGACGGAGTTTTGCTGGAGAGCTTGATGAATGCGCAATTGCCATTTTTACGATAAAGTGGAGCTATCCTTCATCGACTTAGTATGACTGCCTAGTGCATGATGTCCCTTCGCTTTATATAAGAGATTGGTGAGCGACTCTTGATCTGTCCCCTTTTCTCAGGTATTTCGGGTGACCGTGTTGAGATCGACCCGGTCCAGATGCGCTCCTCCCTGAACGTGTCTAAATTTCTGAGCAAGCCGCGCGCCGTGACGTATCAGATTGACTGCATCATGGAGTGTCGCCTACTGGACGTCAAGTACGGAGGTACGCCACCAAAATGGGCTCGGGGGCACGTGCCTCAGAATGGAGGAGACGCTGGTATCTCATGTTATTGATTTTTTCGTCATTAGTCGGTTGTCCGTACTCGTGCTAGCCTTTTCGTTGAAATTCAGGAATGATCCGCTTGTTACATGCGCAAATATTCATTTTTTTCGTGAAACAGGCGTAGCTGGTTGATTTAAGTAAATATGCGGGCCCCTCGATCCTTGTCCAGCATGGTTGCAAACCCGCACCGGCCTGAGCCATCATTACCCAGAGCCATCATTACGCTGACATTGCAGGGCGTGCGGTGCTGCGCCTGGTGTACATGCTGCCCTCTGACGGCGGCTACAAGCACCACGACCTGGAGGCCGACCTGGGCACGGCCAAGGAAATCGTCCGCAAGCTCGAGTACATCCTCGACTTCCGCTCCAGTATGAACCGCAAGACATACCTGCAGCAGAAGGAGAAGCGTACTCTTCTCGGCACGCTGTCCTCGGGAAAGTGAGGACGGGGTGCCGGGGATGGGAGAAGTGGGGTGCCTGTACCTGCCCGGCGGCCGCCTGGTGAGCGTCCGCGCGGGGTGAATCACCAATGCAACTGTCGTGTTTTATACTGTACCTAAGTGGTTTACCTATATTGGAAGCGTTTTAATCAGTGTCGGTGGCCGGTGTTTTCGGAATGTCGTGTAAGAAGTAAGAACCACTGGCGGGTTTCGAGCCTGCCTCTCCGCTGGTCGGAGTGTGGCTCGACTTATTGAAGTGCTGTGACTGTCATGTGTTCATGTAAACTGTATCATATATACATTGTAATCTCGATTCGGTGTCTATCGGTAGGCTCCACGATACGGTCACAGACGAAGAGCACGGATCACCCTAAGCCGTTAGCCGAGCACAGGGGTCGTACCGGCGAGCATTCATTTTGTACTTCTAGATTTCGTCAATTACTCAGACAAAATAGTGTATGACTCCGCGACGTCATTTCAGTGGCAGCGAGATACCAGATACACCATAACATCACACCTACGGACCACTTCGATGGAGATATGCTCTAATTCTTCTGACACGGTTAATCTTTGCAGCCTGAAGACATGGTGCTGGACGCTTGGGACTGGGAGCCCCTGTTCGTGCCTCATAGGGCCTTGCTTGGGGCAATGTGTGTCTCTCAAGGCAAAGCTCAAGAAGTCTAGAAAAGGCCGCTGTCAAGACCCCGTGGCCCGTGAGGGCTGGTTTTGGGTTTCGTCGTTTTGTCAGGAAACCAGGTCTGGTTTTGGTCCACGCGCTTTGGTAAATCCGTGCTAAATTCCGTTACATTTGGTCCTTTGGTGAAGAGGTTGCGGGAAAAAACTTCATGCAGAGGAAAATGTTTTGTTCCGTAAGTAGCGCACTTGTGACATTTGTGAGATGTTTACATTTTGAAATTGTGTTCCAGAAACCTGCTTGCGTAAGAATATTCGAAGCATGATTGGTGGCAGTCTGTGAAACGTTTACCATCCACCAATCAACATCTCGAATCGATAAATATGGGAACCGCTGAACACATTTTTACTATCATGTTATTGCAGCCCTTGTTGCCATCTTGATCTATTGTGTGCGGGCGAAACGTTTATTTTCACCAGTTAGTTCTGTATATATCGTGATTTTCACGCTGATGGTAAGAGGCTTTGGACATTTTCACGGAGTGGCTGAAGTTTTTTTTTTTACAAAAGGAAAAGAAGAATTTCGTGAGTTATTTTGTAGCATCTTTAAAATGGCATTCAACAGCCTCACAAAATCCTATTCCTGGTATCAGTATTTGCGTATTGCCACTTGCGAGTGTGGCAGTGTTTATATAGCCTTGGGCAGTGTCTAGCATGCGACACTGGCCGAATTGGATGATCATAGTTGATCCCTAATATAGATTCCTGATCAGTCTCAGTAAAAAGATTGCATAGGTACTGACATTATCAAGCGTTATATTAATGATTTGTTCAGTAAAATTTAAGTTTAATACTTATCAGTCACCAGAATAGCAATCCTTCAGTATTGGTGGGTTAGGGCGCAAATGAAATAGCAATTGCCCATCGGGCACCAATTTTACTCACTCAATAGTCAATTTACTATCATTTTTCAGGATATGTGTCTCTGAAGTCTGAAGTCTGATTCTTGGCATCTGATACAGCTTCTCTTGCTTGAGATCCAGAGAAGCAAAATGGAGGTTGAAGATGGAGAAATCATTGAGTCTGAGGAAGAACTCCTGAAAGAAGCACCTGATACATTAGAGGTTTGTATGCATTCATGGTTTATATTCATGAACAATGCAATATGCGTAGTGCACTTACAATATAAATTGCACTAGAAATATAGTTTCTCAAGCCAAATTTTCCATCTAAATTTCATCATAAAGCATGTTTGTCAAACCATGAAATGCATTGTTTGTCTGGTAATGTGAGGAGTTCTTGCATCACATGACGGTATGATAGTTTAACTGTAACACTGAAAATCATGACAGTACACATGACACTTGACATGGAAGCTCCTATTTTTCATGACCATCATCCTTTAGGATATGACCATCTCTGACTGTTTCCTTCCAAATACAGGTTTACACATGCTTGGAGCGTCCCGTGGCGCCGCGTCCGCCGCCGATCCAGCCGCCACCTCTCGTCAGTGACGACTCAGACTCACCGGCGGCCGCTGACTCGTCCGACTCTGACTCTGACTCCGGTGGCGGCCGGAAACGGGCGCGCCCGACTCCCGCCGCCGCCGCCGCCGCCGCCGCCGCCGGTGGTGACTCAATGGACACGGGCCATAACGCCGAGTTTGCGGAGGCGGCGCGGAAGTTCCAGGCGCGGCGCGCGCGTCTGGCTGTCTGGAGCTCCGTGCTAGCCGAGGACGGCATCACGGAGGACCTGGCCGGCGGGCTCGGTCAGCTGCGCTCCGGGAAGCGCGTTGAGCGGGACGTGGAGTCGTACCAGCTACCCGAGCTGCCGCCGCGGCCCGAGCGGCCGTCCGCCGACAACCCGCGCAAGAGGGGCTTCCAACAGGCGAGCCAGGGCTGGCGGAAGAAGAAGGTCGAGTCGGTGGTGCTTGAGCCGCTGGCCGTCACTGAGGACAGTCCCACCGAACAGGTGGCTGCCGACATCGCACTCAAGCTGCGTGAGGAGAAACCGGAGATAATCGGTGAGCTGCGGGCGCTTCCTTCCTGTGGAGGGGGCTTTTAGTAGGATCATGTTACTTTTTAAACAAATTTTGTCTGGTTTTTAATGTTTTCGAAATAGAAGTTTGGACTTTTCAGACGAAGTTTTTACATAATATTTTATGTAAAACGTGTATTGCTCCGAGTAAGGTCATGTTAAACATAAACATGTTTTGTTTTTATTTTTAGAGCAGACATACATATAGATATTGCTACGCTGAGTATGACATTTTTCGTTCAACTGCCTTTCGGGTTGTGTCTGTACTCATGTGGTTTCCCGTCCTTTCAGCAAATGTAGTGAAGATCATCGGTACAAAAAAATCAATCGAGTTGTTTGAAGAAACCAAGTCTGTTGAAGAGGGTGGTGGGATGCTAGTCAATGTGAGTGTCTTTTCATTACATCTACTACCAATCCGAGAAATCCATGTTTATTTTGATGGTACCTGTTTCGTTGAGCTATGATGAATGCAAAGCCTACACCACCACCATTTCACTAGACCTGTATACGGCCGATTTTCAGTTACGTTTTGGAGGTTAGTGGATTTCTCTAACTGTAATTCCCGTTTTGCACAAGGACGCGGCAGTCAACATTCCTTGCACGGGCCAAGCCATGTTTGTCGTAGAGTACTGCTCACTGCTCAGTGCATGGATGCCAGCGTGCGATCGTCACCCGTCAGCTCACCATCTCACTCGGCCCCTGTCCGTCTCACAGAACTGGTCTCGGCGGCGCACGCCGGGCGGAGTGTTCATCCAGCTGCTCAAGACGGACCCGGAGGTCACAGAGGAACAGGTACGGGACGTGTTCCGGGAGGACCGCCGGCAGCGCGACCGAGAGCGGAAGGTGGCCAAGCGGCGCCGGCAGCGCGCGCGGCTGGCCGCCGTGGCCGCCGCTGCCGGCGCCGACGGCTCGGGCCGCGAGTCAGGAGAGGCGAGCAGCGAGTCTGGCGACGAGGACTCTGACGCCGACTCGGAGGCGGCCCAGTCGGCCGGCAGTCGGTCCGAGCGGCTGGCCGCGGACGGAGCCGACGATGAGCCGACGGCCGCCGAGATGACGGAACTGGGAGACGGAGATGAACTGGAGGTGCCCAATGAGATCATTTTCGAGTGACGCCGGCCAGTGCGGCTGTGAGGGACGAGTGCGGCGGTCGGCCGCTGCAGTGTTGACGTGCCGATCGCGTTATGATCATTGATCTTCTACAGGCAAGCTAGGTTGCATTCTAGTGTATATCAGTGTCTACCTCGTCATTGCATTGTCCTTGCGTGCCAGGCATGCGTTTCAAATACCACTCAGTGGTGTAACTTACGATACGATTGGCCATTATATTATGACCGATGTCACCACATAATACATCTCATGACGTCAAGCAAAGAAGTGATGGCGATATGCATCAAGTACCGAAAAACATTCATGCTTAATTTTCTCCTGCATTCATAACAGAACGCGCAGCACCATCAAGCTCTAGTTCACTGATGTATTACCGATGTCACAATATCGTGCGATACACTAAAACAAGTAGAAACACTCCGTCACCGATGGGGGTGACCCAGCCCTCCACCGTGGCTAGTGAGACTCTGTACGCGAGATTGCCGATGCGACAGCGGCGCCAATCCGCCCACTACCGGAAGACGTTGGCCCACGGCCGGGCGGGCGGGTCGCGGAGCGCGCCGTCAGGCACTTCGGGCCGAGGGAGGCGGTCCGGGCGGCGCGGCGGCCGGCACAACCATAGAGAGCTGCGAGAGAGCAGACGGCGCGGCCGAACGGGCGCGCCTGCCGACGCAGTGTCTAGCTAGACCTGACCAACAAAGCTCTAAAAGACTGTTGAGACTGTGAGTAAAACGACTAGATCGTGCGCGTGGTCTGACCAACACATGTTTGATTGCAACATTACAGATCTATGGAGTAGGAGGTTCGCAGTTTGCACGTAACAACTGAAAGCCAGAGAGGCGCTCCTGGGCGCAGGAACACAGGGCACGCTCCGCGGCGGCGGAGGGCCTGGGGGGCGCCGGCCCGGTGCAGGCCGGCTGAACACAGTGACTGAAGGCGGCGGCCGCGGCGGCCGGTGTCACTGGGCGGCGTCGCCGGGCCGCGGCGGGTACCGGTCGCTGTAGAAGGTCGACCGGCTCAGATACAGCGTCGGATCCGGCTGGCCGAGCCGCGGCACCAGCGGCATGGTGCGCGTGCGCGCGTACTCGGCCGGGTCCGGGCCGGCGTAGAACGTGGAGCGGCCGACACCGTGCGCGCGCCCCAGCTCGGGCCGCGCGCCCGGCGCCGAGCCGCAGCCGCACTCCCGCCGCGACCGCTCCAGCTCGGCGAAGCGCGCGCGCGCCGACGCCAGGTAGTTTTTGATCATGTCCGAGTGGTACTCGTACTGTCGACTGGTGTCCAGCCGGGCCGCCAGCAGGCAGTGGCAGCGCGTGCCGGCGGCGGCGGAGCCGGTGGCGGCCGGCCGCGGCGGCTCCTCGCCCGTCGAGCCGCGCCGCCGGCCGGGCGCCGCGCCCACACGCTGCGTCAGACTGCCCAGGTTCTCCCGGATCTTCTTGCCCATCGACTTGCCGATGCTGCCCATGTGTTTGACGACCGTTTGCAGCTGCAGGTTGGCGTTGTCGGGCCGGCGGCTGCCGGGCGCCGACAGCTCAGCTGCCGAGGAGGGCCGCTCGGGCCGCGGGGGCACCGGCGGCGGCGAGCGGCGCAGCGGCAGCTCCGCCACGTCCAGGTACTCGCGCAGCAGGCTCAGCTTGTGCTGCGGCTGCAGCGTGAGCCGCGCCTGCGTCACCGGGTCCGTCTCGTCGCTGCCCCAGGCCACGTCGGGGCCCGGGTCGACCACGAACTGGATGGGCAGCAGCACGCCGTCGGGGTCTGTCACCGGCACCACGGCTGTCGGATACGGGACACGGGCGGCGGTCACACACGAGGTCAGTCAGGGCACAGTGACTGGATAGGCTGGAGCGACCCCACTGAAATGGCACAAGGCAATGGCATTGTTCACATCGAGGATTCAGGCCAACTGCACGATCAGCCGTTCACGCATCTGACTCGAACACTCAGCCCACCGGCGCTAATACGATCTCCCCGCAAGAATCGTCAGAATATCACTCACTTCCACCTTCATGAATAAGCTCCGGTCGCTGCGATTCCGGAATTGTGAGTCACATTCACGAGCAAAATATTTGGCTCACCGTTGGTATCCTCCGTTCCCGCCGCTCCGGGCGCCGCCGCGTCCCCGGCACCGCCGTCCGCCGCCGCACCGGTTGCCTTGGAGACGGGCGTCGACTCTGTTGCCATGGCGACCAGTGCCGAGAAGTGTCCGGCGTCGAAGGCGAGCGCCAGCGGCGAGCGGTGGCACTCGGCCGGCGGGATCTCCAGCGGCAGGTAGATGCCGCCGAACGGGATGGGCGCCAGCGGCTGCCCGTTCACATCCTGAAAGGGACAGCGATAGAAACTGTTCAGTGTTCACGTCTTTGTGCGAGTCTAGGAAACTCTCCAGTGTTTTTGTTTTTGTTTGTTTGTTTGTTTTGTTGGGTTAGGCCCTTTCGGTCTAATGAGAGTCTGAGACCATTTCAGAGCCGGGAGGATGATAGGATATAGGGGGAGACATTGGTCTGGGCAGGCACCCTAGTGAGTCGCCGGGGCTGAGCCCGTCCAGAGGACAGGCCACCCAGCCCCAAGGCACTCACTGCACCCGGCTACGGGGTGCGCTCCCTCGGGAGCAGCGGTGCCGCTCCAAGTGAGCAGCCCGCATGAGATAAAGTTGCCTGTCCAGCCCGGAGGGGGGTTGCGGCGTGGAGGAGAAGGATTTCAGTATCCTGAGGATAGAAGCAGGGAACGGTGCTCCAGTGTTTGTTTGTTTTTGTTTTGTTGGGTTAGGCCCTTTCGGTCGACAAGACCATTGCAGAGCCGGAAGGATGATAGGAATTAGGGGGAGACATTGGTCTGGGCAGGCACCCTAGTGAGTCGCCGGGGCTGAGCCCGTCCAGAGGACAGGCCACCCAGCCCCAAGGCACTCACTGCACCCGGCTACGGGGTGCGCTCCCTCGGGAGCAGCGGTGCCGCTCCAAGGGAGCAGCCCGCATGAGATAAAGTTGCCTGTCCAGCCCGGAGCGGGGTTGTGGCGTGGTGGAGAAGGATTTCAGTATCCTGAGGATAGAAGCACGGATAGGTGCTCCAGTGTTCAAGTCCCTGCGAGGGTAAACAGAGACGCTTCTCACTTCGGTGGAAGCGGGCTCATCAGAGGGATCTTGTTTTCACATCCTAGCGGTGGAGATATCGGCCGCCGCTCAGTACCCGCCAGAGGTCGCGTCCGGTCCCACCAGCCGGCCGGTCCCTCACCTTGAGCGTGGTATCGGCGACGACGACGATCGGTCGCCGGAGGATGTGCGCCAACACCAGCACGTGGATCTCCTCCAGCGACTCGTACACGGAGAGCGGCGGCGGCCCGCCGTTCAGGGTCTCCTCACTGTACGGGGTGGGAGGGGCGCCGGACCGTCAGAGGGAGGGGAAGGGCAGACGTGACTGCGGCGTACACAATGAATAATAGATACCTAGCTCACGTCACGGAAACCGGCGCTGGGGTATTACGGAACACACACGCCCACGGGCCGATAAAGGACCGCTGGCGGAGTGAGAACAAAGAGGTTCGAGCCTGTTCATCAACTACATCTAGACACATTGAGGTTAAAAATGCCGCTGATATTTAAGTGCAATGTAACACTGAGCTCCAATGAGCAGCACAGTTCCCCCAACATGCATGTCGTCCGTCATGTACTGACCGGCACTGAGCGCTGTCTCCGTTTTGTCGCGGGTCGCTGGAGGATATCGTGATGACGTTTTTCCACTCACGCTCCCATTCCTCTTCAGAGTACACCAGACCTGTCGCCAGACGGACGCCCAACAAACGTTTTAGGGGACGGGTCAGGGTACAGCTCACGAGCAGCGCAGCCATAACCCTTCGCTCAGCCATGAAATAATGCCATTATGTATATTGGTCGGACGCAGTGCTGAATGCTGATCATATGAGCACACGCCAACTCCCAACCACACACTAAAAAAAAACCCAAACGGTCAGCCTCGGAGGGAGGTCATCCCCGACCCGTCCCGTCGAGTTCATCACTGACCTGCTTCTGTGTTTTGCTGCGCCACCTGCCAGCGCCAGCGGCGCCGGAAGGCGGCCACGTGCGGTCCGTCCGTCATGTAGGGGCGCAGCGCCTTCCGCAGCGTCAGCAGACGGTCGTGGAACCCCCACATGCCCAGACTGGCCGCGTGCAGCAAACAGTTGCCGTCGCCTGATCGGCACAAACACACGCGAATGTTAATGCTGCACAAATAAGTTAAAAGCGCGCAGGCAAGCCACTCGTCAGGTTCGTCAGGGGTTTATCGATGGTTTTGATTTCGAGCCTGCATGGAGCCAAATAAAATGCTAGGGGCGGGGGCGGATACACGTCCGCTCCGGCCATTCATACAACGTCGCTCCGACTCCGGAACGAACGTGACATTCACTGCACGATTCAGACAACGGCGATTCAATGCTACCATTGTTTTAGCGAACTGGTGGCGAACCCTTCATTTCGGAAAGGCTACCCTGTTCCCCGACTCCTGGCTTCGGGATATTAACGCCCATAGATGTTTTGACTTCTCTGAATTACCGCAATATTATCCATTAAGCAAGTTAACCTCACAGCGCAAACACTTTACTGCTGCATCGTTAACCATGGATGAGCCCAACAGCGTGCCTTCTGACATATACTTCAGGTGGCATACAAACAATGACTCAACTCATATCAAACAACTGCTCCACAGAAAGGAAAGCTTTAGTTATGAAACGTCGCGTATAGGGAGAAGCTTATGCTAAGCCTGTGAGGCGCGGCCCAGTTCCGTGAACGAGGACCCATAGCTGGCAATAATAAGTGAAAACATATGTCTCAAGAAAAGCGCCTGTTAGTCAGTCATAACCGACTACTCCGTACCTGTCCGACTTTGTGTCGATACCTGTGTACCGACTTTGAATAGTGACCTGTGACCTGTGACCTGCGCCGTGACCTGTGACGTCACCCACCTGAGGTGGCCAGCGGCCAGAGCCGGGGGCACACGCCGGCGTCCGCCCACCAGTTGAGCCGGCCGGCCTGTTCCAGCGACACCAGGGTGCCGCGGTCCAGCAGGTCCTCCTCCAGGAACCGGCGGAACCCGTCTGGAAGCGATCGCCCCGGGCGGTTAGAGCGGCGGAGCAGCGGGGAGAGGGCTTAGAACCACAGAGGGAGGGCGAAGGAGCAGATCGCCGAGAACAGGTTGACGGATAGACGGGGTTGAGGTGCTGGGGATAAGAACAATCGCTGTACTGTACGTTATTCTGCCACCATACACCATTCATGACCTGGACAACTGTACAGTGTAAATTGGCACATTAGCCAGTAACATAATAATCGACGTTTGATCATTAATTGCTAAAATGGCGGTGAATATGCATTATGCATATTCAAAACAAAGAACCGAGCCTTGCACTAAAGTTGCATCAAGTTCGCAGCCTGTCTCAGTACGCAGCAAATTATGCAAGCGAAACTTCGGTCGTGACGGCGCCGAGTGACAGCCATCGATCGGATTGGGCGCAGTGGCCCACGGAAGCCGTACCGAAACCTCGACAGACCCGGGCCCATATTGGTTTAGTTTGACAGCGCCGGACGCCACAAATGCAGGTTTCCCGGACGAACGGTCAAACAGAGTTTCTCTGGAGATTGACTCTCAACACCAGGCGCGTCGTCGGTTGTACATATGTGAAAAAATAACATCTTATTAACGTAATTTTCCAGAATCAATACCAAGACGTCAAATCAAAATAACATTGTTGCGAAAAGCACACAAATATTTCCAATACAAAATAATCGGAGAATATACGGTTTAAACCAAACGTAACTAAAAGACGGCGAGTTCCAAGGCCGTCCTACTCCGCCGCCCGTCCACGCCCATCCGCCGGACGCGCGCCGCGGACCTCACCTTCGAAGTTGGTCATATCCGGCAGCAGGAAGGTGTGGTCGGGGGCGTCCAGCGGCGCGCCCGGGCGGCCTCCCTGACCGCCGCCGCCGCCGTCCAGCACGTCATGGCGCGCCAGCTGCGAGCGGGCCTCGGACACCAGACGTACATTGTCGGTGGCGCGAGAGATGCCCCTGCCCAGCTTATGTTCTGAGGGCGTCAGGGTGGGGTAACGGTCAGCGCATACTGAGTACTTCAACACGGGAATGGCAATGCGCGTCCCGCTGGACTATTCACTTTTCAGCCTTATGCGCCCAGCTGGAGGGCTAACTTCCGAACCGATAGTCGTAGAAAGACGGGGAAAACGGCAATCGAAAGCTCTCAACAAGGCGGATCTTAAGAGCCGATTTTTTTTGCTTAAGTAGGTCAGAGGTCAGGTCAAGGTCAGGTCAAGGGTACAAAATGCAAATTTCTACAGTATCGGCCTTGCACCGTAGTTGCCGAAGAATGGACTGAGACTGGTTGCCCAAAACGTGTTCTTAGGCTACCAAGACAATATTCGTTGCATACAATATCATGCTAGGTCAAGGTCAAGGTCAGGTCAGGTCACCAAAAACGAAATATAAAAAGGGGCAAGTGCGACGCATGTTTTATGGGTCATTTTATTCATAGAATTCAAAAGGCACACTCAATAAGTGCTATGGACCACATCTGGATCAATTTCATGTCGGGGTCAGGTCAAGGTCCGGTCAAGTGAGGTCAAATTTTGAAATTGGTTGTTAAGACCTAAAAAGATGTCTATCTGATGCAGTTTTTCACGGCGAATCGAATGGTGCTATTGTTGTTTCTGTACGAGGTCTAGAACGTCCAAAAAATCTTTATTTTTCAAAAAATTTACGACATCATAAAATCCCACATTTTTAAACCTATTCTTCTAAAAAATTGGTATGTAGGTGCACATAGACCACTTCTCTGACATATGTTCCGGTTTTTCGATACTCAAAATTTTGGATGTTATAATTATTTTCCCAAAAATCAGTTTAAAAGAAAAAAAAATCGGGCCAAAATCCAAAATTTTTAAAAAACGGAGAAAGCCATTTGATAGACAAAGTAGAATCACGTAGAACCTTTTTGTTACGTCTTGATTCCTTTAAAAATGAAGATGTTAGCGGCGTTTAAAGTTTTGCCGTTTTTGAGGCGAAAATGGCGCGACATGACGTCACTTAAACGTCATTTTCTAAAAAAAAAAAACGAAGGATTTCGCTCAAATTTTCAGAGAACGTGTTAAATTGATGTATGATAAGGTACTGAAAGTTTGACGTCGCTGGCGTAACGCGTTTAGAAGTTATAGGCGAAAAACGGGAGGGGGCAGATTCTGCTCCCCTCCCCCCCCCCCCCAGCGAGGCACGGGGTAACATTGCCTCACTTCGATGCAGAACGATGAGTAACTTCCTTAAATACCATGAGACAGCTGTCTGGCTGTGGGCAGTGTAGGCAGCAAACTGAGCTCATATTAAAATAAAACCATTCCCGGAACTCGGAATTCACGTAAATGATTGAAAAAAAAATGTTCCGGATGAATGGATGGGTGGCTTTGAGCCTCCATGCCTCGCAGGGCTAAGCGGTGCTTGTTGTGAATGACTCCACGGACTCACCGGCCACCGCCCGATGTTGACCTCGCCCGTTCACCGCTGATAATTTTGATCTAAATTTTAACGCATCGCTGACGGCCCTCCCAGGTCTAGCGCAGCAGACTGATTGAAAGACAAGACAATGCATGAGGCTTCCCAGTCTCTCCATGCCCATCCAGTTCAGGTGTCCTCGTTGGCTGCCTGGCAGGACGTGATGCATTCCACTGGATCAGCTCACCTGAAGGCAGTATCTCCACAGCCTCGGCTCGCTGCAGTTTGCCCGCGTGGCCACCCTCCGGCGCCGATACAGGCAGAGGAGCCGGCATCAGGCCCTTGAGATAGTAGAATGCCTGGGTGGCTGCCTTTAGGTCCCAGTGCTGGTCTGAAAGGGGAAGACCAATTACAGTGATCGACACACCACGACATAAAGTATAGCTCAGCTTCAGAATTCACATTTAACAGATCAGAAAACACTAATGCTACAGTTGCATGCAATTGACATTACACTACAACATGTTTGATTGTGATGTTTGATCTTAAAAACTTGTTGTTTGTGGTTATTTTGTTAACAAATGTAGGTACCTACCTACTTTAGACTAATAGAATGCGCTAACAATTAACATGCTATCAAACTAGAAGCTTGATGTTATGGGTGAGTAAGATTCTGTACAGCAGAAAACTTTCACTATTTTACAGTGGACACCACACAATACTGAAATCAATCTGACCTCAGGACATAATAAACAGCTTTGAGAATATCTGCTTGCAGGTTATCGCCCTGAGCTTGAAGTAAGTTTGGATATTGACACCCAGCTAATTATTTGTGCTGAGGCTGAGTGGCACCCACCTTCCAGGAGGTCTCTGGCCAGTCCTGGCTCAGCCCCAGTTGAGTTGACAAACTCGGACAGCAGCAGTGACTCCATTGTCTGACAAAACAATGGCCTCAGTCCTCATTGGATACGCTGGCTACTTCACTGTTGTAGAAAACCTGAAACACAAAAACATTGTTAGCAGTCTTGTTCAGCCCTGGCGCCTGTCCCTATCTATAGCTCCAGATATCTGATGAGTTTTATTTTAGTTCTGAGTTCTGAACAAGTAGCATATCTACCCTTTACAATATATTTGGTCTCTATAAAAGATCAGAGTTCTACCTAAGTTCAAGCCTGCAATTTCATCTCAGAATATTGATTTGTACTGAAGCTGGATTATTTCATTGACATTGGAAAAGCACCATATCCACTACCTATGGATTATGCATGAGTTAATCATATTGGGTCTGTTTCCAGTGCACCCCCAGCCTCTTTTCAGTTTCTCTGAGCTCCTCTCAATCATATTTTTCATCACTGCTAATCTCCTCCTCCCTCATCCCAAACAAAAATTGGTTTTCTGAAGGAGGCTAAAAAAGACATATACCTTACCTATTGGTGGAGATAATACAGATGAGTTGTTAATAAAAACAGTGCAGCAGTGTGGAAACTTAAGAGATGACTGAGGAGGCTAGGGTATTTGTGATATGTGAATATTTAACTATTCCCATTGTTTTTTGTCTGTTTTTTAATGAAAAATGTTGTCTATCAATCAATATCAAGATGCTCTGTAACTCACCAAACTGTACACATCCAGCAAACATCTCAGAGCTCAGACTCATACTAAGTTCCTCTCAAAAGCATTCAAGCCACAGTTAAAAAATGATGTTTCTACCAACTTACCCACACATGTTTTTTTATTTCTTTAGTGAAGTCTGAAAGCAGGGGGCCTGGGGCAATTGGATCAAGGCTCTTGAAATTCACTTTCACAAATCAGTACCGTAAAATGGGGTGTTAAGGGACAGTGGGGTGATAAGGGACAGTTGCATGGGAAAAACTTTGAGTCATATTAACTTCCTAATTTGAGAAGGTTCAATAAAAACTTCAGTGTGGTAGTTGACACTGTTTTGCTCTTGACCATAGGAGAAAATGGCATGGTTTTTCATGCAAGTGATTTGGTTCAAAAATGGATTTGAAAATCATGCTACATTTTCACAAAATTGAAACATCTCCAAAACTTTGTGTGTACCACATAAACTAGTGGGTGTACAGGGAAAATGAATGCATAGGTGTATTGTCACATGTATTGCACATGTTTCCTGAAAAACTTGTGCAAATCCACCCATTCATTTATCATCCTCTTCCTCTTTTCCGGATACATGCATATTTTGAGGTGGACGTGGGGTGCTAAGGGACAGGGAAGAAAAAAATAAAAAATAATATCTAATATAATTTAATTAAGTAGGCATGGAAAACACCAGATTCCACATAAAATGCTGGCAAGTTCATGCTTTTATCTCTACCACATCTTAAGTTATGTAACAAAACATCTCAACACTCTCTTTTACAATGATGGGTCAATGGAGACTGATGTAGGTCAATGTGATGTCATCATAAAAAGGCTAAAACAAAGAGGGCAACATAATGACAAGTGACTAGCTTCAACATGGGTTTTTATTGATGACAGAAGGGTACTTTTTGGTTCTGTTTACCTTATAATTAGCACTTTTTCCACAGGCGTAAACTGCATTACACGTAATTGGCTAAAAAGGTCATTAGTGGTGAATGAACCTGACTTGTTTTGTGACAGAATATGCAAAACATTTCAATAAATAAATTGTGTGCCCTTCCACATCCAAATTGTGCGCATTTGATGACCATTTTTTGGAATAATATAGGTGTCCCTTAACACCCCACATTGGGGTGCTAAGGGACAGTGATGAAAAATAATAAAAAATAATATGCAGGTATAAATCTTAAAAACTTTAACGTGGCAGGCATGTAAAGCACCAAATTCCACATAAAATGCTGACAATTTGATGCTTCTTTCTCCAACCCCTCTTGAGTTACATAACAAAACACCTCAAAACTGTCCCTTAACACCCCGTTTTACAGTACCTAATCACATGACACTTGTGGTGTTTATGTGTTTGCTTGAGCTGTGCAACACTGCTTTGTAAATGCTTGAGAGTTGAGATGCATGCTTTTTGATGCAGGTATGGTGCTTGCCTTTTTTTTAATAAAGCCAAAGTTATGGAGCAGCGCACGTGTATGGTCTGAGTCTTTAAATTACTGCATGGCTAGAAGGCTTGGCTTGCTGCACAACACTTACCCAGTGGTAGGCAGCAAGAGGGGGAGAAGTTCTTTGAAGTCATGTGACCTAATGTGCCCTCCGAGTCTGGCACCCTGTTTTCAGATTCCACCATTTTTTAAGGGAGCAACAGTAACAAAATAATGCAAAACTCAAAATTCAAATGTCATACAAATGACAACTAACTGAAACTGAAGTTTTACCCTTATTAACCTCTAAGACCTTCAAAATAATACCCACCAAATCCCCAATAAACCACCTTGACCTGAAAATAAAACATCTATCTCAGTCGGGCGCACTATGGTATCGGCAGTCCATTTATAGAAACGTTTCTATTTTTGGAAGAAAGTTCCAAAAATGGAAACGCTAAAAACCAACTGTTCCAATAATGGAAACGCTCCGTTTCTATTTTCGGAAACGCAAGGAGCACATAAACCTGTTCGGTAGTTTCCGCAACAAACCATAGATTTCCGCATCAAACAAAGGCCACCAATCAAAAGACCGCATTTCGCTTCATAATTCCAACGTTGAACAGAAAAATCGGCTGTTGAACAGGCTTGCACGGTCCACTTCCTTTTGTAAACAATAGATTTTTTCATGATAGGTGAACTTTTATGTGTCATTAATGAAATATGCCTCATGTTTTTGTGGAAAAATTTGATTTTCACAAGAATGGCAATTTTTTAATTGGCAGACTTGCTGTCTGGTATTCATTAATATTTTACATTGCTGTAAAGCAAGCCCTGAATGGCGTGTTGGTGACCACGTGCGGAGATCGTCTTTCCGGCTTTGGAAGGCGGTAAGTTGGAAAATATTTCGTACAGATGCTTCTAAGTGGGCAAACTGAACTTCTTAGCACCCATTTAACTTACGAATGTGTGAAAGTTGGTAGAATGTATGTAAATAATTGCATTAAAGGTCTGATATGTTACTGCTTGTCGGAAGCGATCCAAGCTGTCGTCCAGTTTTAAACGATTCCATTAAATGAAAAAGCGATGACAAGGTGTTATAAACAATTTCTATGGATAGGGAAATGCTCAAACTGTACTAATTGCCCACTTTGCACCGTATTAGTTCAGTAGGCCTTCAGTTAGTGCCTGTGTAAGGCCCATTGAATAATGCTTTATGAAGCACAGTTTCCATTTTTGGAACAAATGACGAATTTTAACTCATGTTGTACATACAGCTCACAGATGCAGTAGGTTATATGTATTTCAACTCCTATTTGCATTTAATGTTTTTAGAAGCACTTTCTGCCTTTCTCATTTCTAATAATCCACGAGAAGGTTGGAAAATGTGCACGCTCCGACAGCATGAGATGCGAACCAGAGCTTCTGAACCGGCCTGATTAGGCCGAAGTTTAACTCCAACCTTACTTATAAAGCCTTGCTTTTCTTGGGAAGCCAGAGTCTGTTAACCGCAATTCAGGGCACATCGCGACGCTTACTGCAGTCACGCATGCATGCTTGAAACAGTTAAAATATGTTATAATGTGGGTTTCGTAAGCAGTAGCAGCTTAGTAGGCAAGACGGTTGGACAGTTCTGGGGTTTATGTAGGTGCCTAGAAATTGGGGACTTTCCCCAGAAGACACATTTTCGTAAGCATTATTGTACCAACATCGGCTTTCGGGCACTATGCCCAAGCAATTGGAGGACCATTCATACGAAATTTAGATGCAAAGGGAAATCACCCATATCGGAACATGTACCGGCATCAATAGCTCGGCAATTACTTAGAAGGCGTGGGGTAGACAGGCCCACATATCAATAATATGTTGCTTATGCCTTTTCCTGTGTTGGCTCATAGTTTCCATTTTTGGAACCTTCCGTTTCCAAAAATGGAACGTTGACAAGGGTTTGCGTCAGGGCATCAGATTCGCCATTTGCGTACGAAAATATTGTTGGATTTTACTGTTTTGGGAGAAAACATATCGACAAAAAGACACGCCAGCTGAAAAGATTACTATTAACTTAAGAAATACAGAAATATGCCTGCTTAAAAATTGGCGTTTCCAATTTTGGAACTGGCGTTTCCATAAATGGAACAAAGTGCCTTCCAAATTTGGAAACGTTTCCTTTAATAGATACGTATCCATAAATGGACTGCCGATACCATAGTGCGCCCGACTGATCTCAATCTTGATGTTGATCTACTTTTCGAATTTCTGATATAAAAAAAACTGAAACAGGCAACAGCCCACACAGAAAAATACTTCATACCTTTATCCACACACCATTTTATAACACACTTCCATCTATACGCCATCAAATCACTTGCAGAACACGAAAAATGAAATTTTACGTCCTATGTACCAATCCGTCATTCATTCATCACGCACCCACCCCCCTGTGAACACAAATGAACGGACGGGTGCTGTTCGATGAGCTTTGGGCGCACGAATAACCGGAGACGATTCTTAATCTGCACCCATTGATTCTGGATTGTTTCATGGTAAAAAACCATTTTATTTAACTTTTCTTGCTTAAAAACAAACCTAACTGAAAAATGGGCGTTTATAATGTAATATTTTACCCAAAGGTTACGACTAAATTGCCCTAAAATTACTAAATTCGCTCAATCATCTTCTTATATCGAACAGGACCACATTTCCTAAGATTTGGTGCGCTGTTTTTGTATCAGCTTCCATATGAAGTTATTCATAGAGTAATCCCTTTATATTGAGCAATGAGTTTTCAAGAAAAAAGTTAAGCACTTACAACTTTTGCTAAACACATGCTTACTACAAAGAAAAAGCAGCTTTGCTTGCATAAAACATGGACAGGTTAAAGCCCTCACACAGGTAATACATAAATACTATACTGCAATACATTTTCAAATTTCTTTCTGAACATTCTGCATTCTTCAGGAAAAAACTTCATATGGTAGCTGATAGCGCATTCATTATGGTTAACCGCTAAGGTAAACAAAGCTCCAAGTCTGCCTTGGCTGACGTTCTTAGCGTTAATTGCGTTAATTTTTTTTTGCTTATTGGGTGTGACTGCGAAAGTCACATAGATCTAGTTGCACGCTTTACAAGTACCTACGTCATTAAGGTATGTGGAAGGCATATGATGTTAATTGAAATGGGTTGCAAAGATGAAGAGTTGTCCCAAAGCTAGGCCAAATCAATGGATTCTTATTGTTATTTTCGAACTTCTGTTTAAGAAACACCTTTCTAGTTTTTTTTTTGCTTAAATTACCCACTACCCAGTCTGCAAAGTGCAAAGTATGGCAACTTTGACCTGATTTCTCATCGCCCATCAGTGCAGGTTGGTTTGGCTGGTGCAGATTTGATGTTGGTGTGGTGTCAGGTGTGGTTTGGTGTGGTGTGGTCAGGGGTGTGGTACTGGTGGGGTGTAGACCCACGCCGCATTTGATGTCTCCTCGGACGAAGAAGCTCTTGCGCATGGCCTGCGCTTCTATGCCATCCCACTTTCTCGTCTGTGGTGACTTCAACCTACCACATATTGATTGGGAAAATTTGTTTTCCTCTGCCCCAGCCGAAGACCATTCTCATGCTTTCCTGGAAGCTCTTAACGATTGCTTTCCCTTTCAAAAGGTGACCCTACCGACACGCTACCGCACTGGTGAGACACCAAACATCCTCGATCTTATTCTGACACTGGAGGACGGCATGGTGCAGAACTTGAGGTATGAAGCGGGCTTAGGTAAAAGTGACCATCTCATTCTTCAATTTGATGTGCTCTGCTACTCTTCCCGCAACAACTCTCACATGAAGCACCCTAACTATTTCAAAGGAAACCCTGCAAGGTTTATCGCCCTGGTGGAGGAAGTTGACTGGAGCTCTGCCGACGACCACAGTGTGGATGAGCAGTATACGTTTCTGTGCGAGTCCTTGCTCAAAGCTGCCAATGTCTGTTTCCCCACCAGTAAGAGAAAAAGTAATCGCAAGAACATTTACATAAATGGGCAGGCCCTACGGCTGAAGAAACGAAAAGAAGAGCTGTGGAAAATATATGTGTGTTCAAAGAATATCATTGACTACACCAGGTACACTCAGTGTAGAAACCGGTTACGGAAGTTGACAAGAAACCTGAGGAGGGACCTGGAGATCAGCCTAGCCAGAAACGTCAAAGAATGCCCGAAAGCCTTTTGGCGCTACTCCAACACTAGGATCCGAACAAAAGCCAGACTCGAAAACCTCAAAGATGACTCCGGGCTGGTGGTAAGCGATGATCTCGGGAAAGCGCACCTCTTGAATGCCTTCTTTAGCAGTGTTTTTACAGCCGAAGACGTCTCACAGATTCCCGAACCACCCTCACAGTACGCTGGCCGTCCGTTGGAGACGATCCAGATCACGTCCGAGGCTGTGAGGAGGAAGCTCGAGACCCTGAAGACGACTTGTGCACCGGGCCCTGACGGCTTACACCCGAAGCTCTTGCAACTCGCATCCCGGCCACTAGCTGGTCCACTTGCCTCCATCTATCGTGCCTCTCTCGATCAAGGCGTTATTCCCGACTCTTGGAAGGCGGCAACGGTCATTCCCATTCACAAGAAAGGCAGCAAGCAAACTCCTGGTAACTATCGTCCCATCAGTCTTACGTCGATCCCGTGCAAAATCCTCGAATCACTGATCCGGGACGAACTCATGGATTTCCTATGCTCAACAGACCAGCTCTCCAAGCACCAGCACGGGTTCCGCCCACGGAGGTCCTGCAACTCGCAACTCATTGAGGTACTGGACGACTGGAGTAAGATGATTGAGCAGGGGAGCCCAGTTGATACAGTTTACCTTGATTTTCGTAAAGCCTTTGATGCGGTCCCTCACAAGCGCCTTCTATTGAAGCTTCGTAGTCTTGGTGTGTCAGGCAACCTTCTTCAATGGATCGATGCTTTTCTCTCCGATCGGAAGCAGCAAGTCTCCGTCAACGGTCACCTCTCTGGCTGGTCTGCCGTCTCAAGTGGAGTGCCGCAAGGCTCGGTCCTCGGTCCGCTCCTGTTCCTTGCTTTCATCAACGATATGCCCGCTGTCGTCGACTGCATGGTGAAAATGTTCGCGGACGACACAAAAATCTACCGCAGCGTGTCAGCACCCTCGGAAGCGGCATCTCTGCAAGCCGACATTGATGCTGTGGTGGCCTGGTCTGACAGATGGCAACTTCCCTTCAACCAGGACAAATGCGAGGTTCTTCACCTAGGCACCAACAACGCTCAACTCCAGTACACGATGCGAGGGGTCAACCTGCAAGTGGCTGAAACCGTACGCGACCTGGGCATCCACGTGGACCCTAACCTCAAGTTCAGAAAGCAAGCAGCGGCGGCGGCGGCAAAGGCGAACCAGATCCTGGCGGTTGTCAGACGATCGTTCGAGCATATTGACGACTTTACACTCCCTCTGCTGTACAGAGCACTTGTTCGCCCCCACTTAGAGTATGGTAATGTTGCTTGGGGTCCTTTTAACCGAGCCGACCAACTCCTGATCGAACGTGTTCAGCGGAGAGCCACTCGTTTAGTCAGCTCTATCAGACACCTGCCATATGAGGAACGACTAGAGGCACTGAAGCTTCCATCACTATTCTACCGAAGACGTCGCGGGGATATGATCCAAGTGTACCAGGTTCTCCACGGCGGAATGGACCTGCTTCCAGAGGACTTCTTCACTCTTGCAGCAGTCCAGCGCACCCGCGGTCACCCGTGGAAACTCCTGAAGCCGAGGGCCGAATCAAGACCGAGAAGACAAGCGTTCGGTGCGCGGGTAGTGAACGACTGGAATAGTCTCCCCCTCTCGGTCGTGAGCGCTGCCTCTGTAGACCTCTTCAAATCCAGGCTGGACGCCCACTGGGCAAACATCAGGTACTCAGTGCCTGACTGAGTTTTGACATTCAAGTTGCCTCGAGCTCGATGAGAACGGTACCCCACAGGCCAAAGAGCCTTTCAAAATTCTGATCAAAGTAAGGTAAGGTAAGTAAGGTAAGAACATTCTACGCATAATATTCTATTTTGCGTTCGGTGCAGCACACAGTCGGACGACGAGACCGGCCATTTTGTGCGCCACTTAAAGGGACCCTCCCACCTTAACATTAGTTTTGAGTTGAGATAGCCAAGTTTGCGGCCAGGCTCAGAAACCACCATTTATCCTGGTCGCAACCCCCGCAGCTTTATGGTGTTCAAGAAATTTCTTCCCTTTACTTGCAGGGTGGGACCAGCGTGGTCCCTATCTCTTAACCATTACGGGAATCTGATGACGTCATCAGGCTTTCGAACGTCCGTTAAATGTTTGACTAAAACGTTTTGTAGCACGCGGTGGTATATGCTGCTTTGCGCGCAACAAATGCCGCACTTTCAAATAAAGTCGCTAGGAACAGCGGAGATCCCCAAAAGTAAACAAAAGTAAAAGTCTAATATCTTGAAAACCGGTGAATATTTTTCGATGAAATTTGGTAGATATTCGTTTTTGCTCTTTCTGAACCGAGCGACATCACTTTCATGCCAATTCATTAACTTTTTTGAAGGTGGGAGGGTCCCTTTAAACAATGTGCGTCAGCTAAAAAAATCAAATTTATGTTTCCAAAGAGACCACTCACAAATGTCAACAACTTCTGCAAACAGCTGCTGCGCCGCTTTCGAAATATGCGCCATCACTGCCACGCTGCCCACCGTAGTACGCTCAAAAGATTCTGCGCAGACGACAAAGGTTCTACGTGACGTCACGTAGGATCTTTGCCGTCCGTGCGACATCGAACAGCATTTTGGGCTAGGACGGCATAGAATCTTCGTCGTCCGAGAGACATCGAATGCGGGGCTAGACTGGAAAAAATGCATGCTATGCTGAAAATATCAGTTGTGGCGGGTTTGCGTTAAAAAATTTGCGCACACGTCCTGCATAAATTCATATGCGCTCCAAATTCAGCTCATGGCTGATGGCGGCCGCTATTTTTTTTTTTTTGAACAAGGATAATCCTGCAGTGGGTTCCTGGCTCCTGCCCACTGCGAGTTTGAGGGGAATAAGAGAGCGGATGACCTGGCGAAACAAGCGACTGCCCTGCCGGCTGGCCTCAGATGCACGTTTACTGACCTGGGCAGTGGGCGGTTTATTTATTGTGTGGCCTTGCGTCAATGGCGCCACAACTGGTCCGGGTCACTATTTAAGCTACTAATCGGGAAATGCTGCAGTTCCCCATCCTTGGAGAGGACCGAGAGGACGCCATTTCCATTTCAGTGTGACAGATGAGGGCCGGGGCTACTGGGGCCGCTCGCTCCAGCACCTGCACCGGATCAGCCATCTCCCGTCCTCCGAGGTGTGCCAGCGGTGCCCGGACAAGCAATGCCCCGCGGCGCCGTGTGCCGAGAAAAGGCTGATGTCCTGGAGCACGTGCTGTTCCCCTGCCCGGCCCTCGCGAGCGTGCGGCCCGCCAGTCTCTAACACACCGCTTGCCGGTTTTTGTGGCCCCGGGAACTACCGGCCCGGGCCTTGTTTTACGGCATGCCGCTACAGTGACGCTCTTGGGTAGACTTGAATTGGGTTTCCATAGAGGGATTGGCTTATTTTGACGCTCAACCCCGGAACGTATGGCTAGGTGCCGAGTCTATAGGAGGTCGCCGCCACGGCGGCTCGATGACCTGTCCCTCAGAACGAAGGAAGTCGCGACGGCTCGAAAACTGGAGACCATCTCAGCCTAATTTCGCGCGCTTAGCCTTTTATCACTTGGTCCCTAATTGGTCTTGTAAACAGAATGTCTCTTTCACAGGATAACGATACCTCTATCTCTGAATGATGAGTACAATTTCGATTGGTTTTGTGTGGTGCTAGAAGGGCATAACTGCACACCACTGCAGCATAACTAACTTATGCTACGGTCTGCAGCATGTCAAAAAGCAATTATCGTTATTTTGCATTTCTCACTTATTATGTTCTCGCTTTCACAGACACCATGTATGCACAAAGCAGCAATATAATCAACATATTATCGAGAAGAGAGCATGATGTAAGTATATTTTGGAGGTTTAAAGTTATTTGAATCATTTTTATCTTCTTTCATAGTACCCTTGTGGATGAAATTATCTTCCTCCCCATTACCACCTCTGCAGTTGGCTTTAGTTTATAGGCGAATGAATGCATAACCGCCTTCCACAGGCAGTGCGCCCATAAGTTTAAATCCCCCCCCCCCCCAAGATTTGCTGCTTTGATACGGACTGTAACGGCAATGGTAGTGATAGCTAATATATGTTTTATGTAGTGTGTGTCTAGCACTTTGCATTGACTGCTTGAATAGTTTTGAAGTATCTACGAGACCGGTCTTAGGTATACTTCGGTTGGAATTTTGGGGCATGCGCTGCCCTGGTTCGACCGTTGATGACCTGTACCCCGTTTCGCTCTCAGCTGCGGTTTGGGTCGGCCGCTGAGCGGACCATGCACGTCAGCGAGGCGCTGGTCAATCGCCTGGGACTGAGGAGTGAGCTGCAGGGCCACAACGGATGCGTCAACTGCCTCGAATGGAATGCGAATGGAACGTGAGTGATGCGTGCTAGTCGTTGTTGTTGCAATTTCTGCCTTTCCACATCATAGCATATGTTTGTGCATTACCAGCAGGAATGATTATAAAATGATTGCTTTGGAGCGTCGTGTCGAATTACTTCACTGGTGTTGCACTTTTGTAGAAGTAGGCATTTATTTCCTCGTTTTGTGTCTACGCAGTTATGTACACATGTTCGTGACCCCTGTCTATCTATTGCAGACTGCTGGCCTCTGGCTCGGACGACTACCAGGTGTGCCTGTGGCAGCCGCAGCGGGATAAACTGCTGCACACCATTCCCACCACTCACAGCGGCAACATATTCTCCGTCAAGGTGAGCGACAACAGCTGCGGGAGCGGGTCCACAACTGCCTGCGGGATGGACTGCTCGCCTCTGCCAGCCAGGCCACGGGTCTGCAACAGAGATCGGGGACGTTTTCATTGTACGGGCCTCATGAGCAAGGAGTTGATGGCGTTGGCCTTCACTGTATGGACGCTCAGAGCCAACCGCCTTACGTCTTGCAGAGCGTCGTCTTTGCTGAGCCTTGGAGGCTAACTAAACCGTGAGGCGTACCGTCTTCCTGAATATAGCTAGTTCGATGATATTTGGCGTCATGTTCCGGTCTTGACTGTAATATATTTTAGTTTATGCTCTGTTCTGTGTTCTTACCATGTCTCGTGTTTAACTTTCTAGCCCGTTGATCCCTGCTCCTGCCGTCCAGTTTATGCCGGAGTCCAATGACGGCGTGGTGGCCACATGCGCGGCCGACTGTCACCTGAAGGTGATCGACGTGCGCTTCAGCGAGGTGACCCACCAGTGCAGCTGCCACCACGGCCGCGTCAAGCGGCTGGCCGTGGCGCCGCACCTGCCCTACTTAGTGTGGTCGGCCGGAGAGGACGGGCTCATCATGTGAGTCGCCAGGCCGGAGACTGGCCGTGACTTACGCGTCTCAGTACTTTGTGATGGCTGGGCTTCTGTTTTGTTCCTAGTATAATTCAGCGCTTTTATCGTGGTGAATTCAACTGTGTAGGTATACAGTAAAAAAAAGGCACTATTCCGTGACGTTTGTTTGGTGGTGATACGGATGATCGGGCTACTGCAGTTGTTACCGCGGTTATGCAATATGCATGACACCTGTATGTGTCCGTTCGCAGGCAGCTCGACCTGCGCGCCAAGCACCGGTGCCGGCCGGGCGGCGGCGGTGGCAGCGTGCTTGTCAACCTGCAGTCGCAGTGCGGCGTCGGCAGCGAGGCCAAGTGCGTCGCCGTGTGCCCGTCGCGGCCCGACCTGCTCGCTGTAGGCGCTAACGACCCGTACGTGCGCGTGTACGACCGGCGGATGGTGCGGCTGGGCGGCCTGCCGGCCGGCGCCGCGAAGCCGGGCTCCTCTGCCGAACAGGATCCCGTCACACCGGACGGGGCCGTGCAGTACTTCTGTCCAGGTCAGACCGAGAACGGGGACACTATTTGTTCTGTTCGCGAACACTGGAGCTTCCGATTATGTAACGTGGGGAGTAGTAGATTTCCGGTTAACCGTTAAAATGCTATATCGCTTTTGAGATCCGGCTAACACCTGAATTCATTGAGTGAATTCATTGCTAGTTTGTCTCATTTCCGTCTCATGGAATGCAGATACAGCCACTGTTCTCTCACGTCTCATTTCCGTCTCATGGAATGCAGATACAGCCACTGTTCTCTCACCTCACGTCCTGACCCGCCGGTTGCTCGGTTTTGCGTCCGCTGACGCCCTGCCTTCGGCTGCCTCTGGCCTCAAAACCTGCCATCCACTGACACCGCCGCCCTGTTCATCTGCAGGTCACCTGTCGCGGCCGGGGTCGGGGACGTCGGAGCGGCGCCGGCGCCGACCGCTGGCCGTCACCTACGTGTCCTACAGCGCCGACGGCCGCCACCTGCTGGCCAACCTGGGCAGTGAGCAGGTGTACCTGTTCGACACCGCCGAGCCGCGCCGCGTGGACGTCCTGGGCGCGGCGCCGCTCCAGCGGCCGCCAGACACGCCCGCCGGTGGGTGACGCTGCTCGGACCGCGGCTACTAGCCGCCGCTTACGGAAAGTGCTAGGTCTAAGACGGGCTACGAGGTAGGTTGGGGGGTCCGTATCAAAGCGTCCAAAACCGCAGCACCCAAAGTACGCAACATCCAAAACCGCAGCGTCCAAAGTACGCAACGTCCAAAATACGTCCAAAATCGGGTTTATAGGGGGCATTCACAAAGTCCAAAACCGAAACATCCAAAACCGCAACGTCCAAAAACGTTTCATCCAAAAAACGCAACATCCAAAGACGCAACATCCAAAGTACGTAACCTCCAAAACCAACCTAACATAACCTAACCTAACCTAACCTAACCGAACCTAACCTAACCTACTGATTTTTGCCTATCCCTAACCCAACCTAACCTAACCTAACTGAACCTAACCTAACCTACTGATTTTTGCCTACCGGGGATAAGGAAACCCAACATAACCTAACCTAACCTAACCTAACCTAACCTAACCTAATCTAACCTACTGATCTATGCCTACCGGGAATAAGGAAACCTAACCTAACCTAACCTAGCCTAACCTAACCTAACGGTTTTGGATGTTGCGTACCTTGGATGTTGCGTACTTTGGATGATGCGTCCTTGGATGTTGCGTTTTTGGATGATACGTTTTGGATGTTGCGGTTTTGGATGTTTCGGTTTTGGACGTTGTGAATGCTCCCTATATACCCGATTTTGGACTTATTTTGGACGTTGCGTACTTTGGACGCTGCGGTTTTGGATGTTGCGTACTTTGGATGCTGCGGTCTTGGACGCTTTGATGGTCCCCCAGGTTGGGCTGTTTGAGACTCGTTTATCAATGAATTATCGGTCGAAAAGTTTTTGAGCGAGTACAGCTACTATTGAGTCGGACAAACTACACGGATTGGTCTGGATTTATTGTTACTTCAGTGTATTATTTGTGTTAAAGGTAGTGTGCCACCTTTGAAAGATTTCCCATTTTATTTTTCCTAGGATAAGAAGCTTCTGTTTTTACCTAATATCGCAAAAAAAAAATCAAAAATGGGCCTGGAATAGTGCCTTTTTCGCCTAAAAGTTTATCGGTTTTTAGATATGTATAACAACTGTAGTGGGCTCACCTGCAAACAGGCGTCGGGCAACAATCGCGAATGCGGCGCACTTGTGACAATAAGCAAAGGTCATTATAGTGTTACGACCATACGACGTACGGGAATGAGTTATCAGCTGTCTAATCGTAGACAACACAATGTCGAGCCTTAAACTGTAAGCCCGTATTGGTATTGTTTCTTTTATTTGGCTGTCGAACATTATTTATGGTTTGAAATATGATTTTATGTAAAATAATTGATATGAAAAAGCCGTCTTATAAGTTATGACCCCATTTCACCACACGCAAGTGGCAGAAATGACAATGATCAGCTGACGCATTTTTCTTGGCCGAAGTCAGAGCGCGCGGCCCGACCACTGGGCCCGACGCACCACGCGTATTTGGAAATTCCGACCTCGACGAGCATCAGAAGCCACCTAACAGGCGTGTTCGAAACCGCAGGAGATGATGATGAACGGGTTTATCGAAACTTGATTGGATGAGCATATCGGTAATAGCGATTTCAGTGTGTGCATTTATTGTTCATAGTGGTGTGAAATGTGGTTGGGGTACGACCGACAACCCGTCGGGGCGAATTTCGCACTGGGGTACTCAAAATTTGAAGAATTTAAGACGTTTCCATGAGTTTTGAAGGTATGGATAAGTTCTAAAAATCCGGTTCTCCTTATCTGGGCCATTAACTCCATACGGTCCAAGAAAGCTGGCACACTACCTTTAATTAAAATTGTGCGCAATCTGGTTAGGAGCTGTTTTTAGTTGATAAGATTGCAATGAGTTATGTTAATAGATAATCGTCCAGCGAATAACGTTGCCATCCCCGAGTAAGTCTCAGTCCCCACCTTCCTCGTCTTTTCCGTCCCACCCTTCCCGTGACCTTTCTCCCCCACCCCCTCCTGGCCGCTCCGTCTCCCTCTCCGCTCTGTAACCGTCTCGTCTCTGTCGGCGCAGAGACGCTGCCGGGCCGGCTGGACCGGCTGCGCCAGGAGGCCAACCTGTGTCACCAGCAGTCGCGCTACTCGGCGGCTATCGAGCTCAACAGTCGCGCCATCCGACTGCGGCCGTCGGTGGCCACATTCTACTCGAACCGCGCGGCCGCCTACCTGAAACGCGCCTGGTGAGCACAGGCTGGGGATCTGCTCACTTTACGACGTCTGGCGTCGTGATAGTTATTTCATGAATTCACCGAATCTCAAGTGTACATACGCTGCTGTTTCAAATGAATTCCTAAATGAATTTAGGTTATCCTTTGATTGTAACAAAACATTTTTTTCCTGCAAAGCTGTTTTTATTATTAACCGCCTTGTGCTAGATCCTTATTCGTCGTGGTTGCTATCAGGCTATGCTGTACTGCATCGCGCATGCCTCGCGACTGCGGCCACTGACTGACCCTTCTACCGGTAGGGACGGTGACGTGTACGCGGCGGCGCGGGACTGCCAGCGCACGCTGCAGCTACAGCCAGGCCACGTGAAGGCGGCGTTCCGACTCTGCCGGTGTCTGCTGGAGCTGGGCCACCTGAGGTCGGCCACCGAGGCGCTGGCAGCGTTCCGTCGCCACCACACCCACCAGGCCAACAGCCACGCCGTGCTGATGCTGGAGCGAGACCTGAAGGAGGCCCAGTTCCACCAGTCCGGCGCCGGTGAGACGGACGGGCGTGGGGCGGGCGTGGCGTGGATCGTGGGGGGCTGTCGCAGGTGGTCTGAGTGGGTTGGTGTTGATTATCAGCATTGTATGCTCTATGAACTATGAAGAGATTGATTCCGTTTGTCTCACAAATATTGAGACTTAGCAAGAAACTTACCGCTGAGAAGCGACCCCGCGTTTCTGCTTTTTGAGGCCGTTGTTCATGATTAAATCCAGACTAATTACCGCGTTGATCACTCGCCAATGTTTCTCCCTGGCTGACCGCTACGTCCCGTCCTTCCGCAGCAGACCGTAACGGCGGCCCGCCGGAGCCGCTAATCAAGATGGAAGGTCTGCTGGACTGGTCGCAGGGCACACCTTCTGATCAGGAGCGCTCCTGGCGCCGTTCAGCGGCCGACTTCGAAACCCGCTACTGCGGACACTGCAACACCACCACAGACATCAAGGAGGCCAACTTCTTCGGCAGGTGAGGCGACGTGGCAGGCGCTGGGGTGTCACTGTTAGTTGTTACACTGTTACAGTGAGGAGACGAGTGGTCATTGTGATGTTTGCAGACGTGTTACTGTGATCTTTTTACCAAGGTTAGTGGCTCACGTCGTGCATCATTCCGTATTGTATGCAATGCGCTGCTGTGTTGAGTCGAACGCCCGAAACTGACGCCCGCCCGCGGCGCCACAGGGATGGCCAGTTCGTACTGGCCGGCTCCGACGACGGCACCTTCTTCATCTGGGAGCGGCACACGGCCTCGATCGTGCGCGTGCTGCGCGGCGACTCGACCATCGTCAACTGCGTGCAGCCGCACCCGCGGCTCTGCCTGCTGGCCAGTAGCGGCATCGACAGCTGCGTGCGCCTCTGGGAGCCGCTGGCCGAGCACGCCGAGCAGGAGCGCGCCGTCACCGACACGGACCGCGCCGCGCTCGACAACCAGCAGCGCATGAACGCCAACCCTATCGACATGATGCTGCTCAGCTTCGGCGCGCGCGTGGCCACCGGCACCGACGACTCGGTCAGCCAGGGCGTGCCGTGCCGGACCAGCTAGGGCGGCGGCCGGCGACGGACGCGGGCGTCTTTCAGGTGGGCCTCTCTCGCTCTCTCTCGGTAGTGTTCTGGTCTGGGAGGGGTGGGGCGGGAGAGTGCGGATGCAGGGTAACCCGGCGCAGGCTGGCGAGTGTGTGATCTGTGGGAGGGTGCAATGTTGAACCAAATCAGCCGGGGCCGGCAGGCTGCCCGGCGGTGCGGAGGCCGGTCGGCACGCAGAGCTGCCACTAACCCGCCGTGTGCACCGTCGGTGGGAGGGGGGGGGGAGGGAGCGGTCAGGCTAGGACGGCAGGAGTCCTCGGGGGGGGGGGGGGGGTGAGCGGCACAGGTCTGCAGTCGCTCGCCGCGGGTGAATCGTGCCCATAAGTATGTACTATCGCGCTGTTTTGTTTGCGGTTCAGATTGTAGATTATCCAAGAAGATGGTATATAATATATTGCATTGTATCTCATGATAGGTGCTTCGTGTGTATTGGCTGAGCGTTTTCTGGAGGATATGTTATTGTTACGGGTGATTGTGGTAGTAGCACATATAATTAAGAACGACTGGTTTTCAATCGCATACAGTTGGTGAGCGTGATCGAGCTTCATAAAACTCTTGATCGTTTCACAGGTATGTCTGTTCTCTTCACGCCTAACTAAAACTTTAGCATAGAAAGGTTTGTACCTGATTCGCCTGTCGAGTTTTCGGTACCATTGGACCTCGTCCATAAGACTGCTGTGACGACAAGAATAAATTATATCCCTGTATTAATAAAGCCTCTCCATCCGTTTAAGTACATAGCGAACCCCCACACAGCCATAAAATGTAAGAAAACAGCAAAAATCACGAGCCAAAATGTAAACATGCATGTCATACGGAAAACACCAAGAACTTTAGTTGAATCGTACACCTGAAAAAATCAAACAAACGAAAATTCCGTCAGATGAGGTAACACTTCGAAACTGCTGGCGTCAATGAATTGTACATTAAAACTCCGGACGATATGCCAGTTTACGGCTGGCGCCGATCTGGGATCGGCTGTGGCCCAGTCAGAGGTGATTCTCTGGCCCGACTGGTGCCACAGAGTTCCAACGGCAACGCCAGAGTCTCGTTAAGTGCAAACACAGTCCGGGGTTACCTAAACATTCCCTGGAGCCAGACTATCAGGCATGGCACGGCGTTGGCGGGCTTACACCCAGCGTGTGGCATGCGCAGTGATTCTCCCTCTCTGCTGTCGGTTGGAAATCAGCAGCCACTGCAGCTGGGCGTCCCAGCAGCAGCTTCAACTGTCCATTTGAGCACCAGCCCGTAACACACCGCGCAGCTGGAGCACAATAACGAAGGCAATGTCAAACGCGTCCAGGCGACATATCAGATCACTTCTTGAACCCTCCCCCTTCCCCACAGTTGTACACACACGCCACTAAGGGGCGACCACTGCACGTGACGGGTCTTGACCGTCACAGTTCCGAGTCTGTTGACCCTGTTAGCACGTCAGCATCACTCTGCCTTCTTCTCAGCTGCCTTCATCTGTACGCGTGCCTTCTGCTCCATCACCTGACTGAGGGCACCATTGGTGCACCACAGCCAGTTGCACTGCGAAGAGCAGCGGGGATGCTGAATGCAAATGCTTTCGTAAAAACCTGCCCATTTTAGATTCGGGGATACGAAGGTCGTAAGGTCGTAACTCAAATATAAAAACTGAAGACCCACAAGATTAATGAACATGACATTGAGTAGGTTTGAGAATTGGAAGTGCGTCGCTAACCGATTGAAGGGACTTACCACAATGAGCAGACAGTTAAGTAGAATGGGCATGGAGAACATGATGGATATAAACATCCCCTCGCTGTCAAAGTACTGCTGCTTGGAGAAGGCCCTGAAACGGTGAAGCCCAGACGTGAGATACGACACAAAGTGATGGCAGTGTTAACCCGCCCATTGCACTGTGCTAGAAAAAAAAGAGCACCTCACAAACTTCTAAGACAAAAGACAAACTCCCAACTCCTTTTCTCCCCATGTTCGCTCAACTCGTGGCACTGGTTGAGTTCGCATTCAAGAGCGTAATTGGGGTTCCAGGCGCACCAGAACCCGTCACTGGCCTTTGATACCAAGATTACTTTACTACTCTCTGATACGGCGCCTCGAAAAGTTCCAAACCATCTCACAGGGTTAGTCCATGGGTATGTTCCAGTCGCACTTTCCAACACCTCTAAGCTCCTCGAAGAGCAAGATAGAGGAGGTTGGAGCAGGGTGCTGCGCTCCTTGGCTTTGAAGGGGCTAGAGCTGCCACTGGAACAGGGAAGCAAGCTTGGAGGAGTTTAGAGGTGTTAAAAAGTGCGACTGGAACAGACCCCATGATGCCCGCCGAGGTACCCCAACAGCCCCAGCCTCGTCACGCTCGAGTATTAGTCAATTCCTGATCACGAAAACCATGTAGCGCATGAAATTAAAAATAACAAGGCTGATCTATGTATATTCCATTCACGTTCTGTCCTCATCAGTGTCGTTTCTGCCTTGACCGGTGTTGGACATTGAGTTGCCCGGATCCCTGCCAACAATTTTTCTAATTCCTAAAAAAAAAAAAAACATGATATCACCGATCCACCATTCTGGTAGTCTTATATGGTACAACGTTTCTTTGAGCATGATTGTAATCAATAAAAATGGTAAAATTGACCTTATGCTCATAATATCAGATAAATTAATTGAAAAAAGGTCCAGAATATATTTTCGAACTTGGTTCTTCTTCGGTGGAATCAAAAATGGCGAGAGAGCGGCAATTACAATAAAATTCAAACTGTTAAAAACACACATCAATTCACTATGCATCTTCCTACATACAAAATTTCAGCGAAGCCTACATCACATCCATATAATTATATAGTTCAGACTTTACCAGTTACAAGATCAAGCTTATCAAGGATTTTGTCATCATCCATATTAGCACATGCAGAATCAATGTGACACGAGTCTCAAAGCACAGCATCATCATTACAGTCAGTAGCTATCACATTAGTAGATAACAGGTACTGATCACGTCTTAAGATCATCGTCATTATCACAAACACAATCGAACATGAACGAGTGCCCATCTCACTGTGGGCGAGTACCGCCGCATAGGTACTGCTCACATCACAAGATCATATAGCCAATATCATAAGAGAATATAGGAACCGGTGTACAAGTACATATAGCGTAATGGTAAGTCTGTGTGCGCGTAGGTGTGTGTAGGACGTGGGTGTGTGCGTGGGGGGGGGGGGTGTATGTGTATAAGTGCGTGAGAGCGGGTGTGGGCGTGTGGGCGTGAATAGGTGGGTATTAGTGTGTGAGTGGGTGTGCGTGGGGGGGTGTGGTTACGTTCGTCGAGACATGAAGCTAAATTTCTGAGTATGGCACTGGCTTTATCAGGGACCATGAGGAGTTCATGATGTTGAGTGAGGGTTTGTGGTTTCGAATTTCTATTGACTCGGCAATTTTGAGTTCAGGGACATCTTTGCACACCTGAAGAATGCTGATGGTGAGCGAAGAATGATCCGTGTTGGCGTCTGGGTGACACTGTTTGAAATGTTCTCCAAATGGTGTGTTTTGGTGTTGTTTTTGGCGTCCCGAAGATGTTCATTGTATCTGAGCCTTACACTTCGCTTGCTTTCTCCTATGTAGGTGCTTTTTTGGTCTGGACATAGGTTACACTTGATCAGGTAAACGGCATTTTTTGTGTGGCACCTGCCTTCTAATCCCGACAGGCAGGAGTTGCATTTCCGGCCTCCTGCTGGGCATGGAGGCTTCTCTAGTGCGGATCGACTGAGTTTACTGCAGAGCGTCTCGCCACTCTTCCAAGCAATCCGAATTGGTAGCTTTGACTTTTTGACAATGCTCTCGATTTTGCCCGAAATGCTATCATCAATGTATGGGAGACTCAGGTATGTAATTTCGTCTGGGGATTTAGTAGGTCTCTTGGTCGGATCGGTTTTCTGAGGGCGTTGGAGTTTGACCCGAGACTTTGTCTTTTGGATCATTTTGTTAGGGTAGCCGTTATTTTTAAACAGTGACTCTATCTTGGCCATCCCTCGGTTTTGTGCATTCTTCAGGTGTGCAAAGATGTCGCTGAACTCAAAATTGCCGAGTCAATAGAAATTCGAAACCACAAACCCTCACTCAACATCATGAACTCCTCATGGTCCCTGATAAAGCCAGTGCCATACTCAGAAATTTAGCTTCATGTCTCGACGAACGTAACCACACCCACACACCCACACCCACTCACACACTAATACCCACCTATTCACGCCCACACGCCCACACCCGCTCTCACGCACTTATACACATACACCCCCCCCCCCACGCACACACCCACGTCCTACACACACCTACGCGCACACAGACTTACCATTACGCTATATGTACTTGTACACCGGTTCCTATATTCTCTTATGATATTGGCTATATGATCTTGTGATGTGAGCAGTACCTATGCGGCGGTACTCGCCCACAGTGAGATGGGCACTCGTTCATGTTCGATTGTGTTTGTGATAATGACGATGATCTTGAGACGTGATCAGTACCTGTTATCTACTAATGTGATAGCTACTGACTGTAATGATGATACTGTGCTTTGAGACTCGTGTCACATTGATTCTGCATGTGCTAATATGGATGATGACAAAATCCTTGATAAGCTTGATCTTGTAACTGGTAAAGTCTGAACTATATAATTATATGGATGTGATGTAGGCTTCGCTGAAATTTTGTATGTAGGAAGATGCATAGTGAATTGATGTGTGTTTTTAACAGTTTGAATTTTATTGTAATTGCCGCTCTCTCGCCATTTTTGATTCCACCGAAGAAGAACCAAGTTCGAAAATATATTCTGGACCTTTTTTCAATTAATTTATCTGATATTATGAGCATAAGGTCAATTTTACCATTTTTATTGATTCTGGTAGTCGAGTATTCTAATCAGAGTACCCCAGTCAACGATCCTGGAACAACATATTTTATGTCTCCCGCTCCTCACTCAAAATAATTATCTTTCTTCCTTCAAAGATTATGAAATTCATCCTTGTTCTACCTACACAGGCAGGGAACAGGACGCAATGCAGGTATTCAATGAATTGGTAGCTGGTAGTGGGAGAGGGACTGGTGAGAGTCCTACAGTGTACATCATAAGCATTTCTGAGTTGCTTTGAATTGCTTGGATATGAAGTTTTTTAAACAAAAACTGCTGATAAAATGATTTATCTATTACACAGGAGGAGTAAGGGCAATGCTCTTCAGTGGCTAGCCTTCATGCCCAGTGCTTTGTTGCTCACATTCATTCACATTATAGGTACAGCCCATATGCTATTGAGAGCTAACTTACCTCCAATGTGTTGCTGCCAGGGTGTTGATGTCTTCTGAGAAATATACCAAAGATACTGAAAGGAAAAGCAAGGAAAAGTGAGTTCAAATAAGCAGCCCGTTAAACACCTATGAGTTTTTAAGATGCATGGTAAAGTGCAGCTGATGAACAGCTGCACAGCATGCTCTAGTTGTCTCTGACTGATCCTACCAACTAATAACTGCACATTTTTATGACTAGAAATATACTTACACAAGGTGAGGAAGAGACCACATTGCACATGCAGCTTCCTCCTTGCAATCAAAGCCACCAGGAACATCAGTATGTGCCAACTTATAAGGCCCATAATCCATGGTTCTGACCAGTCAACCTGCAATCGGACATTGACATACATCACTCAAGAGCAGAAATAGTGGGGCCATTAAATACCAACACATTCAATAATGATAATGTCAGAACCCTTATTGCCAATTTGCTTTTGCTGAAATAAAACTGAAACATTAAACAAACTCTGATATCATAACATGCATTCTGATTCATGACAAAGTAAACATTTCTTTACAGTGTAGCTCAGTCAAATGCATAAAATATTGATCAAAAAATAATCTATTAAACACAATGGGTTGATGCTTAATGCTTATGTTTCTGTACTTACGTTCGGTCGTCGCGCTTTAAATAAAAGCATCGTTTTCGACTTACCTCTGATAAAAAGCCAAGGAAACTAAAGCCAATTTCCTCATCCTCAACGATGCCTCCTTTTTCCGATGAAGCCATTTTTGATTTTGTTGAGTTTTGCAGAACTTTTAAAAGTGACGATTCAGAATATGAATAACTTGTTGGAAAGAATATGGCCTTTTGCAATATTTTATTTAATTCTAAGCAACTATACCAAGTTTCTCTGAAGCGGATTTGTTTACAACTCGCATTTGTCTAAACAGCGCCGAAAAAGAGGCAGTAGTTGCAGAGCGAAATAAAGCACCGCAACGAAATAATAATTGCTGCCAATTTACATCTAAAATCAAGTGGGCGTCGTCCGTCGATTTTTATGTTGGATCACGAGTCACGACTCACGACCGTTATTTGGGCCGTTAGCTTGGTGCAGTTCTAGTTAAACGCATACCTTATATGAAATTTGGTTTATATTAGGTCAAACATTAAACACTTAGCAGATTAGACTTAGCAGAATTAAACACTTAGCAGATAACACAACAATTAGCACTTAGACGTTAGGTACCAAAGTCCAAAACAATGCTAGGTATTAACCAAACAACCGAGAAGTTCAGAGGGGATGGTTGCGTCACTACTTGCTAGCATGCAACATGCACTTTGCGTGTAAATATATGCCGAATATATGCTAAACTTATTTGGCGTTGGTCTTACGAGCTACTTGGCTGAACTTTTTTTTTGTTCTATCGGATGCAGTCAAAATATGTCAGGATTCGAATTCGTAAGTTGTTTAGCATTTCAAAAGATTCCTGAACTTCCTTTGTGTAACCTTGAGTGACTTCCTATCGTAATTAGATAGATGTGACGAACGTAACACATGTAGAAAATTTGCAGCACAATATATTGCCACATTAGATAACCACGGAGTGCAAAAGCACAATCTATGACGGCACATCAGAACCGATCAACGGGCGAAACCAAATCATGAAGCCCTTAAGCTCCAGCAACAGGCACCACATCAGTTCGCTTCATTCCGCGCCACAAACAAGGAGAATCGCATATCGTATTAGTACACTGGAAAGCGCTTGATCACAGCGCACAAACATTTCAAACACCACTCAGTTGTAGAAAGAGACACACCTAAAAAGCAATCTCCTTCCAAGATGTCCAATGTGAATGGGATCAGCTAGCCTTTGGCGCGTTGTAGGCCATGGTTTTCTGATTGTGGGGGTTCTGTGGTGACTTGGTCCACTCTTTGTGCATCATGTGTTTCAGCTGCGAGAGCCGCATGCCCGGGTTCTCCTGTTTGAGCCTGGGTAGCGCCTCCTCCTCGAAGGCCTTGTAGGCGGCCTTCATGCGGCGCTCCGGGTGCCGGTCGCCGTCGTCACCGCCGCCCACACTGCGGCGGAGCGGGCAGTTGCGTCAGTCATGGTGACGGGCACAACACAACGACACAAGAAGCTAGGGGAAAAACTTCACCGCCGCCCACACTGCGGCGGGACGGGGGCTATATTGACAGTCACAATGACTGGAAAACACAGGCGATATAACCAGTCCGGGAAAGAACATGTAGCAGTCAGTTACGAAAGCAAGAGTAACGCAGACAGGGTACGACCCCAAGGGGGAGGCGAACACCCACACAATTGGACGGGGAATCAGAACATCTCACGGACACGGTCTGTCGGCGAAACGGACATGACAACGAAACATTCAGACAGGGAGGAGGACATCACAAGGCAATGCAATAACATTATCAGGAAAAGAGATGAGCAGGTAACACTAATAATCAATAATACACTGTAGACCGATAGACCGATACAGTATAGGTCAATAGACCACTGTTGACGCTGTTCAGTTGACCGGGTCCGACCATACGGCCATACGAATTTCGGTCCGGCCGTTTGACCCACCTGAGCACGGCGATGGCCTCCTCCACGGTGCGCGCCTCCTCCCCGTCCACTTCCAGCCGGTTCACGTTCTCCTCCAGGGCGACGGGCGCCTCCAACTGGCCCTTGGCCGGTGTGGCGGCGGCGGCGGCAGCGGCGGCGCGTGCGGCCGCCGCTCGCCGCTCGGCCTCCGCCTGCACCTGGCTGCGCGTGACCTTGGGTGCTGGCCGCTTGGAGGCCGTCTGCTTCTCCAGAGTGGCCTCCTCCTCCCGCAGTAGAGCAGCAGCCTCCTGCTTCTTCTGCTGCTGCTCGTGCCGCTTACGCTCGGCCTCCTCCTGCAGCAGCAAGCAGTCAGTAGCATCAGGCTTTAGCAGAACTCAGATGTTTAAGGATGTTTACACCAGACCAGTTATCCTGATTGTAAGAGCTTGATGTCAGGGCAAAACAACAGGGTCTTCTGCAGGCCACATGATGAGGTAACCTCATCGACCTGTGGTCTGCAGAAGGCCCTATTCTTCTTGTAACCTCATTGAGGCTACATTGAAGAGTGGGCATTGGAGGGACTATATTTTTTTTTTTAGCAAAGGAATAGCTGATAACATAGGTCAGCAAATAAGCAGAAATGATGTGCCATGGCATCTGAATAGCATTAGAATGGAAAACAACATTTTTTAGACTGGCTAGATGTAAGTGCAAGGCAGAAAGGATAGCCAGAGGACACAATAACTGACACTTGCATACCTTTTTGTTCTGCTTTTTCACAACGTGCTTGGCATCATCTTTCCAGTATTCATCTTCAGCTTTCTTTTGCTTCTTCTCTTCCGCTTCTGCTTTGGAAGAAGCCTTCCTTGCCCTGGCAGCAACAGCCTTGGAATTCTCACCAGCAAACTTTTTTGGCATGGTCTGTGTTTAATCAGCTGCAACCTGCAACACACAAGCATGTTCAGTTTTTAATTCAATGCCATGTTCAAAATATAGTGTAGATAAAATGTGTTTTCATCGAGTAAAATAATTATTTTTATTAATAAAATTATGGTGTTTTAATTGCCAGTTGGGCAAAGCTGGCAAAGCAAAGCAAAGCAAAGGTTACTACAAACCTAAGCAAAGCAAAGGTTACTACAAAGGTCCTGAAACCTACTGTCCCAATCTGATAGGGCAACAGGAGAATACAAGACAATTAGGATGCCAAGCAGTGGCGGTGGAAGGTAATTTTGGATGGGGGTGTAAAGTTTTCTCAAGGGGCCCCTCAGGAAATTTTGGCCACTGCCCTTCATTTTTTGAGTGATTATTATTGATTTATGAAAAACGAAGATTTTGGAAAACTATCCCCATACACACAAGTTCTGTAAAAGGTTTGAAATTACAGTGAACCTACCTATCTCAAATAATGAAAGCATTAAGAAGCAAATGCAGCTAGCTTTTTATCGGCTAATCTTTTAGCCTAGCCACCACCCGCAGCGTCTCAAACCACTTTTCTGGATCCGCAGTAACCATTGAGGGCCCTACGAGATCATTCCAAGAAGACCGTGTTTAGAAGCCCCTTGGAAACCGACCACATAGAGACTCCTTCCAGAGACCTACATGACTCCAGACTGAATGAGCCCTCCGATCAGGGCTCTTGAAAGGTGCTGAAAGGTTTCAGAAGGCAGTATAGGCTCGAAAGTCCTTTGAGGGCTCTCAGAAACCGGCATCGGACCCCAAAAAAGCCTGTATGAAGGCCCTCCAAAGCCGGGATAGAGGCCACAGGAGCCGATGTTTAGCCTAATGTGCCGGTATGGAGGACTAAATAGAGGGATGGGGTCTCAGTGGGGCCTTCAGGGGCAAGCGTTTGAGCCCAACCCAAAAGTATGTGAGGGGTCTTCAAGGCAGGTAGAACCCTGGGGTATGCACGGGGTCCCAGGAGCTCGCGTGTGAGCCCAAATTTTCGGCTGACGGCTACTAGAACCAGCATGGGGATTCTTAGAAGCCGCTTACACCCACATTTCATGGGTCATGAGTCCCAAGAGTCGATGTAGCCTAGGGGCCATAAAAGCCGGTGCAGGGCCCATGGCCCCATACGTTCCGGCATTGAGACTCTCAGAGGCCGGCAACTGGGCACCAAGAGCAGATAAAGTGCCTCAACAAGCTGCATGGGGCCTGAGAATCAGTGTGGAAGTCCAGGAGCCTGCGTGAGCTCTCGGAGACCTTCGTATTTCGTAAGGTCCACAATGGTCGTTGGATCCTCTGAATCTGAACTCTGCGGGGCCCTCAGAGGCCAGCATGTCTCCTGGCACCTGCCTGCGTTGAGTTGAGACCCTCCGAGGCCGTCGTAAGGTTCTTCAGAGGCCAGCGTTGGCCCTTGAAGCCTTCGTTAGGCCCTAGATGCCGTCAAGAGGGCCCCCAGAGGTCAGCATGACCCCTGGAGCCTGCCTGCGTCGAGGCCCTCCGAGGCCGTCGTGGGGCCCTCAGACGCCAGCGTGGGCATTAGGAGGTTGCGTTAGAGACCATCGTGGGGGCCCAGAGGTCGTCGTCAGGGCCCTCAGCCCCTCAGGGACCGTCCTGGGGTCCTCAGAAGTTGTTGTGATGGCCCTTAGAAGCCTTAGAGAGGATCATCAGAGGTCGTCATGAGGGTCCTTGGCCATAGTGAGGGTCTTCATGGGCTCTCAGATACCTTTGCAGGGCTCTCAGAGGCCTTGGTAAGACCGCTAGAAGCCATCGTTAGGGGCGTTAGGGCCCTGGTCGTCTGAAGCCAAATGGGCCCTCAGACTTGAGTTGGGTCTAGGGCCTTCACGAGGGCCCTCAGAGACCATCGTAGAGGCCCTCAGAGGCCAGCGGAGCCCCTGGAGTCCTGTGGGACCCTCAGCGGTCGTCATGAGGGCCCTTAGTGGTCGTTATAGGAGCCCAGGGGATAGAGGTCGTCGTGGGAACCCAGAGATCATCGTAAGGGCCCTCAGAGGCCGTCATAGGGGCCCTCAGAGGCCAGCGTGGCCCCTGGAGTCTCCTTGGGGCCCTGGAGTCTCTGTGGGACCCTCAGCGGTCGTCATGAGGGCCCTTAGTGGCCGTTGTAGGGCCCCAGGGCCCAGGGGACATAGGTTGTCGTGGGAGCCCTCAGAGATGGTCATAAAAGGGCCCTCTGAGGCCGTTGTGGGGGCCCTCAGATGCCACATGGAGCACCAAACGCGGCTCGGGACACTTCTAGCCAGTGTGGGGCCCCAAAGACTAGCTATGGGGCGCTCCTGACCATAATTAGACATCCTGGATGATTCTACATCAGTGTTCGTTTCCTGATCACCGGCTTTCAGGAGAAAATGTATTGGATGGTGCGACAGGCCCCTTGTACGGATTTTGGGGAAACAAAAAGATATGTTTGCAACCCAATGTTTTTTAATGGGGGTGGAGCTGCACCCCCTGCACCCCCCATTCCGCCACCACTGATGCCAAGATGAAGTGTTCTTTTCACATGTTTGGGGTTCCCTTGGTCTGAGACTGGCCAAATATACAGGAATAGAAAGTAAGTCACCCACATAAAAAAGAAAGAGCTTGCCCACCTACGAGAACCTGTCTGAATGGAAATGTGAGTCCAAGTGTCAGACATAAGGGTAGCATAATCTTAAGGAGAGCAAGAATTTGTTTTTAAAAACTTAGCTCAAATGTTTGAATGGACAGATTGACAGGGCCTGGGCCCATGCTAAGTAGAGCTTGTTGCGTAGACCCCCACCCCCTACCATCTAATCGCGCAATTCCGGGTAACGGGAAAATTTTGATGCCAAAGTTAAACGTTCAAAGGCGGACACGGCCTGTTCCACTCAACTGACTTCAACTGGCTGCGGCTGCTCCCACCAACCGCAGACCATCCCCGTCAGGAGTCTCAAATATCGAGCGTCGGAGCGACTCGAACCCAGGCTCTCACCACCGGGATGGCCGGTGCTCTACCAACTGAGAGAGATGATGAGATGCTGAGATGAGAGATGCTGCTTAGAAATAAGCAGCATCATTACAAAAAAACCAGTGCTCATAAAAACCGAGAAAGGGGATCGATGATTGAGAACAAAACCAAAACTTAGGTACGTACTTCCAAATAGCAACCAATAGCTACAAATTGGAATGCTTGCCACTTGGACTTGCCAGTCGGAGTCTGAGTCACCTGGACGTTACGTCTCTTTAACTTAAGTTGTAATAGGTCGAAAGCCAAAGGATCAATTATGCTACACCAGTGTTGCGAATTCAAGAGTGAAAATCACCAGAAACACCGTATAAATAGAAACATCATCCACGTATAGAACTCGCAGATTATAACGTCTGTTGCATAACATGGCGCACTAATAAAATAAGTCAAAAGTCACCAAAAGTTTTAGCTCGGTGATGACGTCAAAAGACCGAATTTTATTGAAATTTTAATACGAAAACAATCGTGACTACTTGAATTGAAAAATACAAAGTTTGGACAGAAAAGACATTGTTTGTGCATGTGATATGTGATGCATTTGAGCCAATTTTAATTGATATAAGGTATGCTCACAGCTCACTTCAAATGCAAAAAAAAAATGTTGCGCCGTTTCTTAGCGCCTGATGTTGCGGTTTATATAGCCTTGGTTAGTTGGTTGCGTCCAAGATTCTTACAGATAGTTGCGCCTAAATTGCTTTTTGTCAATGAAAAAATACACTGTTTTATTTTTCTCCCTTTTCATAAGAAAACTGTTGAATGTTGCCAAAAAGCCAAAAAGTGTTGTGACGCAAATTACTTGTGACCATGTGTGACGCAAATAAGTTCTTCTGACGTCATAGTTCCTTATTCTTGTAAACGGAATAATGCGTCGCATAATCTGCGCCATATCTGTCCTTGTTCTTATGCTGCGATGTGCATATTCATAGATATTCTATGTGCATATTGATATGCATTTTACACCGCAAATTTGTGTAAAACTCGTACCGCTTTGGGTGTAAACAGTTGATAATTCACGCGTATGTGGGGTGTGTGGTGTATTTTTTTTTATATTTTGCTTCTAATGTGTTGTCATTTGTGTGATGTTCCTTTTGCATAGGATGTTGTAACTTCTTCTGAACGTTCTGAAATCTGAACCTTGGTGCAGGTGAGATTTTATTGATGCATGATTGGGCCAAACATTCAGTCTTGGAAACTACCTACGTCTTGCAGAAGTTATACAAAGCATGATGACAAGGACTTGAACTTCATGTTAAGTCCTACCTACCTCATAATATAATTATACATCTAGGGTGAGGATGGTTGTTTCAGTTGGACTTAACAGGTTAAAGCGGCCCTTATTCCTGCTTCCACCAATAATTGTAATAGTCGAATTGGATGTTTCCTACCAACAGTAAGGGCGGAACACCTTCAATTAAGGGGGGCACTGCTGACTTTTGATCCCATTCTTTCCATGCAACACCCATAGGGCCAATGTTAAAATGCCAAAATCAAAGGGGGGCACGGTGCCCCAGCGCCCTCCCTGTTACGCCGCCTATGCCTACCAAATTAGCAAGTCTACATTTTCAGACATTTTCTTTGATCAGTTGTAGGCTGATAACTCAAACTGTTCTGTAGACCCTGAACTGTAGACCCTGTTTGTCTAAGGATTCACTTTATTATTACCTATGTTAAGTAGGTACTGATAGGTATTTCATGTGTAAATTCAACAAGTATCTGGAACTATTTACGTTCCGTAAACCAGAGCAACTTTGGTCCATCGGTGCAACTTTGGTCCACCATGGAAAAGATACTTTGCTGATTTTTTAAAAAATCCATCGTAATATTTGGGACATTTTTTCATGCAGGCAATTTAGCCCAATATGTGCCCTAACTATGTGTGAACAGACCTGCTTTTGTTATGTGACCTTGACAGCAGCAGAATTTTTATAATAAAAGCCTTGATTTTGGCACAAAAAACCGAAGTTGCTAGGATGATGTAAGGAGCGGAACTGGTAAGAACTGGAGCGACACTGGCTATCTAGACAGTAAGTACATGAGTTCTCCAAAGGCTTAGAGGAAGAAAACCCCCATTTTCTTTTTATGGTCATTTTTTAGTGGTGGTGGTCAAAGTTGCAAGCACTTTTTCCGTCAAAATGCTACAACTTTGGTCCACCAGGAAATCATTCTTAGGAAGCTTCTCATCACTATAGCATACTTTTTTCGTCATTTATGACAGTCAATGCTGGAAGTTATTGATGTTGATAGTCGATTGGTTATGCTGCTGCGTCTATATTTCATTTTTAGCCCTCCAAATCCAGATTATTTCCCAGCCTGTTGTATTCCATACCTATCCAATATGATTTTTCCTGTTTCAGGTCCGAGTTGTGCCATACGATCCTTTGATCCTGCTTCACTGTTAATGCTATGGGAGGAGAAAGTGCAGGAAAGTCTAGAAAAAAAGTGGGAGGTCGCACCTATCAGAGGTACTCCCTGTGAATCCCCGTTCACTGTGAATCTGTTGCCCCATTGTAAACCAGTGTTTCTGTGATTGTTTTCAGCCAGTTGAAGTCCTGGTGTGTCAGGATATTTTTTAAAAGAACTTATGTGGACCAAAGATGCTCTGTAAAATACCATTTTATTCGTTAACATTGAATAAAATAGGATTATAATCAGTGGTACAAAGTTGTAAAACCCCTCTACAACTTTGACCACTTGTTCAATAAAAAAAATAAAATAACTCAAGATGCTAGCATTCTTTTACTCTAGAGCAAACTGTTGACAAAGGTTGTAGCTTCCACCTTGCAAAAAACTAGCCAGATTGGACAACAATTAAAAAAGATATTCAACAAAAACCTAAAAAGTGGTACAAAGTTGCTCTGGTTTACGGTTTAAGTCTGATAGACTGTCCATGAGACTGGTGGCATAGGACAGAGGCTAGTTAGAGCGATGATGCCTATCAAACAATGCCTGTGATGATCAGCAACTAGGCAAGATTGTGAGTCATTGTTATATCATAATGTTTTAGTACTGTCACCTGCAAAAGGGCTCTTAACCCTATTAGTGGCAGGGGGGGGGGTTGTTTTCATCCACCCCTCAGGTTTTTCGGGAATATCTCCGAAACCGCTGAAGCTACGATGCTGAAATTTTCTGACTTTTCCTAAAACTAAATTGGGCACATTCCCTGAAAATTTCAAGTTCATAACTTTACCAAGGGCGGCTCCAGAGCACTGGGAATTGGGGGGTCCTATTCGTGAAGCGAGTCATTTGGGCGATGATCACGATGCTGATGTATTATAACTGTATGCACCAGTTTTATCATGTGATAACATATACAAAGTTATTGTGCATCCTCTTTTGACACGTTTTTGCTATAATAGGCGGATCCAGGCGTCCAAAAAGGGGGGTTATGTTTTACCTCCCAACATAGGTGCCCTGACACCGCCTATGCATGACCAATACAATTGTAGTCGTTCTCTCATAAGAAAATTGTAACATAACAAGACCATTACCACCCTTTTTAGAAACAGTACCAACAAAAACCTTATTTGCTATACTTTTTGTGTACCCCCAATCTCAATGATCTGTATCCGCCTATGATTTTTGAAAATGCATATTTTTAGGATCCATGTGAATTCCTGGTTCATTCTTTATCGATCGGCAAAAGTTGCGTTAAGATTGGTTCAGAAACCTGGCCGTGATAAGCAGTCTAAAATGTATCTGCAATTTGCCCGTTTTTACCCCCCTCAACCCCCCTTTTGACATTTTCTTAATTTTTTTTTTAGAAATGTAGATCACGTTGAGCGAAGTCGAATGCCGTTTGAATTTTGAAAATCGGCCCGTTAGATCTCGAGATATCAAGGGGGGGTCGTAAACAGCCCCCCCCCCTGCCACTAATAGGGGTAGCCAGGAGCCTGCCACTAATAGGGTTAAATTTAATGGTGGTAATCGTTTGAGGTCTTTTTTGCATGGTTTTGATTTGAAAGTTTTTAATTTGCTCTTATTGCCTTTTAGCTCCTTTGAGTCAAATAAAATACAAATTTTGCACTTAACTCTTTCAATTTTACATTTTTGCCAATTGTTATATTTTTGTCACATGTAACATTGTGTAGGTATGCATGATAAGATACCTGTGTGCAGCATCCATGTAATTGACTGAAACCAAGTTGTTGTTTGTTTTCAGGTCATTTGCTGGGACCAAATATTGCTGCTTTGAACAGCTGTTTGAACAGACATCAGACACTCAACTAAGTGGAGTGGAAGAGCAATCAAGAACTTCAGGCAATGTGTCAAACTGTTTGGGTGCTTACTGGTGTATGAGAATGTCAGTGACATCAATCACTGCTGGTGGCTCTAGTGACTGTGACATGTTGCAAAGTAACCGTGAAGGGCTAGCCTATAACACAGTGTTGTGATCTATCATCTAAGTGATAAGTGACGTCGGTGCCTTGGTGTGTGGGCTCACACCCGCCCAGATATTCACCGGACGGCAATCAAGATCGTCGAAATGTCGTCAAATAAAGTCAGGGTGGCCGTTCGCGTGCGGCCATTCAGCAAAAGAGGTAAGGCGGGTGAGAATGTGCCAGTGTGCTTTTGGAACGTCCTTCGTTGATAGCTTTTGTTTCCTCCATTTATATTTCATTGTTTTTGTCGCCTCAAATAGGTGTCAGTTTATCCATGCAATCCTGTGCGATAATTTTTCTTCCTGAAGTTTTTTTGTGAGGCATTCCATCAACAGTTGTTTTTATATGGCTTGAAGTTGTTTCAATCCTGTCGGCCCGGTCCTGTGGCGCCGTGCCCTCCGTCTTCCTTCTCCGTTCGTGTCCTCTCGACTGAATTCCGTGTCACCCCCGCCGGTGGCTGTCTCTGTGCTGTCGGCGGCTGCATCGGCACAATTTATCGCTGTGCGTCGCTGTCGCGGCTAAAGCAGACCGAGAAGTGACGGCCCGGCGCGGGGAGACCAGCGGGGAGCTGTAAATCCGTGCCACCCGGCGGGGGGGGGGGGGGGGAGGGGCACGGTCGATATGTCGAGACGCGCGATCTGACGCTTGTATACATGCAAATGAAGCCACGTCAAAAGGCACGGCGTTATTGTCCAGTGTGTCGAGAACTATGTCATCAATGGAGCTGACTCGGAAAATTGCCCGACGCTATGAACTCGCTGATCGTAAATGGTCGTGATGCATCAGGCGCCCTTTTTGTGTAGATTGCGACCGACACGCCAAATGTGGTATGATGAGTTTTTAATGTGAACCGAGCACCCTTCGATGAGGGTGTGTCTGTGATTGTGTGAGGTTTGTAGTCTAGATTGATGCAAGATGATACACTTGAAATTTGTTCGAGATTCACGTAAAGCCCATTCGTGTAATAGGAAGACCCGT